GGAAATAGGTGTGACTGGTAGATAAAGGAAATCACAGGTAGCAGTAGTAGGCAGATCCGAGCCAATGCGCAGCTGGTGGAGCGACGGATCACGAGATAAAATCACCGGGGCGATCGCAACGGGAACGTTTCGATCTTTATTTGGATCTTACTCAACTAACCTGTTACGTGTAAGTAACACGACTGCATCAGTTGAGAAAGATACAAATGAAGATCGAAACATTCCTACGGGGATCATCTTGGCGAATTTATCACGACCTTTTCGTCAGCTGCGCTGTTGGCTTAAATCTATTTGATTAACGATTTATACGCTACTTGTAATTTTACCCACATCTTGACCTATAAGTTCTTCGGCGAATCGAAAGGCCTGTTCTTTATAGATGCGGTAGTTCGTGTATTTGACACTTGGTGGAAAAGAGAGGAGAAAAGAGGAGGAATGATTACAAGATAGTTTAGAAAATGCGGCTATATAGAACAGGTGTAAAATTCGCGAGTTTTCGGCTAAAACGATCGAATGAAATCAAAGCAAGTGAAAATAATAAATGAGCAGGCGTACGGACAAGAGGAGAGAATTTTGCGCCTAGAATTCGACGGATTTCTCGTACTCGTCGCCGATAACGCCATTTTTCACGGTTCAGTCTCGGAACACTACAATCCTCGTAATCGCCCCTTCTTTCTCGTAGAAAAGAAGGTACGATGGCTGACGATTGCGCTCGCCATCCGCTACGATTTCTCCCACTACGAGCACGCTCTGTCCTCCTACTCTGATGCCAGTTGGGCCACCTCTTACTGAAAAGTGTACCATCGTCGACCATTGGGTGCAACTGGCATCAAGGCTACCGATTGGACAGCCTCTGGTGTTCACCTAGGAATCACCCGCGACCTCGCGGATTGACGTTGCGATGAATGCAACGCGCCGCACGTGGAGATGCAAATCGACGCGACCTCCCTGCCATCCCGATGCGAATATCGACCTCAAATCGACGGAGTCATGCCGTCCGTCAGATTAACTCCGTCGCGAAGGATTTATGTTAATCCTAGAATAGCCTTCGCTAAAATTAATTGTTTTCCGTAACACGTGAAAGAATTTCTATCAATATCTCCAATACGACATCTTATATAATATCTAATGATAGTCTGTCATATTTAATTAATCTCAGATCTATTGAGGTCTTCAATTTAGGTCGTAAATTAAACCAATTAAGTAACTTTCAAACACGCGATAGAAAAAGAGTCACGTGACGATCGTATTCCGAGCATGGCCATTATTTTAAAAATTTCGAAAAAAATCGAAGACAACACTTAAAATGTTAATTAATTTAGTATGTTAATTATATTAATTTGGTATGTTAGTTATTTTACGGCAATATTTCACGATTTTGGAGTGTCTTTAGCATATAGTTGTTCGATTTAATGCCGTTTTTACGATGCCGTTCGAAACCAGAGCTGTTCGAGATATGAAGAAGTATTGGAGGCTGGGCCGACGTACGTTGAGATCGATAGGAACGTGCGGGATTGATGAGGAGAAAGGTGGAGGGCTATTAAAGCGACATGGGGGGAAAACGGTAGGTAAGAGACAACCGCGAAAAAGATCGGCAAATGGAATGTCGATTAATCTGTAGCCGGGTCCGGTCCATACTGGAATCTGCACGTGCATTACGCTTTCGTGTGCCTGCCGAGGCACGCGTCGCCTGCTTGCGAATAGCGCGCGTTATTAGTTGTGTTTGATTCTTATACAAACAAAAAGTTTGTAGTATTACACTATGCATTCTGTGATCGCGGAATATTAATAATTATTTGAGCTATATCCATTGTATTTTCGGCATGCTATATTAAAGCACAAATCTTGCCGTAAGGTTCATAGTAAAACGCGAAGACACGATGCAAAAATGCTTATAATGTTGAATTAACAGGATCGCAAAACGTTATAATATCCCATTCTATTATCTAGTTTGAGGAACAAGCTTCCTTTCTAATGCGTCACGTGGAATATCTCGAGAAATGACCTTTATTTTGCAGTTATTGGTCGGCCGTTAGCCGATAAAATAAATAGATAATGCGCTGCACAATGGATCGTTTCGTACGAAAAAGAAAAGGGAGTAGAAATCACATGTCGCATTCCAACGAGCGACTTATGCGATCGAGCCACCAGGCGAAAGCTGCAACAAGCTTCCACCGTCCGGCGGCATTCAAAGTACCGGTCGTACGCACACAAGTGGTGCCACAGCTATGGCAGATATTTACTACTAGGCAATGTTACAACGTTCGCGTGTGTACTTTGTTGCACGGATACTGTTTTTCCGGAAAGCCGCGGAATGCACGAGATCTTTGACTTACGAGACTCGAGACGGCAAAGTAGAAAATGTTTCGAGTCCGCGATCTCTCACGACTGTGAGACCGAGAATAACAAGGACTGCACGACAGGTATGATCGGACGATAGGATATCGATATCGAGTTCAAGTTGTATTCATGATGAGCGATCAATTCAGTAGCTGAATATTATATTTCGCCAGAGAAAAACTCGCAGAACACCTCCAAGAAAAATTATAGATTTATTTTACGTAGCCTTCGCACGTGCGTAAAGAAAATTTATCGGGCACATTGCACATCAAATGGTATTGGCGCGATCGAAATTTCAGATCGAGATGTATCCCGATACCGACGATACCACGTCCTCTTAGAACCCGACAACGAGCTGTACGAATAAAACAATACGGGAGAATCGCGAGTATATCGAGGTAGAGAACGCGGACCGGATGGCGCTCCTCACAATTCTCCAATATTTTACCCGCACGCGGACGAAACCCTCCTCTCGTCCACGCGAGTCCAGGCGAGTCGGACGGCTTCCTTCTTACTCGACGTCACTTTCGCATAAGTAGGCGATTCAGGTGCCGTTCTGTGCGGAGACGCGAAACGCGAAACGGAGCGCAAAAAGAACAATCCACGCCGGACGAGAAGGGCACATAAGGAAGCCGAGTTTACGAGATGATTGTCCTAAAGGCCCTATTCATTCGGCACGAAATCTCCGGGCGGATCTCTATTGTAGATTATTGCGCCATTGTCCATTGTCGCAATCCGCCAACAACTGGCTTTCTTAGATCTCTTTCTTTCACGCGAGCGGAAAAATCTCACCGCGAGAACGAAAGCGGCGACGTCGGCTCGAAAGAGAGAGAGAGAGAGAGAGTACGTTTTATCATTTTATTATTACAATACAGGATATATAAAATCCTGTATTGCTCAATGTAACGAGTGTTAATCGTTCCTTCGAAAATGTTCGCCTGGTAAATATTTCAAGTATCAAGTATATTTCTCTCAGTATATCTAAATATATTATACATTTATTTATTATTAAATATATTCAAAATGTTTTAATTACAAAAATAATTGTTAATATAAATTCTTAATAATTTTTCAAATAATATAAGAATAATAAAATATATATATTAATAAGATAATAGATATATGTGCACAGAGAAAAAGATTTCTTTAGAAAAATTGATATATATTATGAATTGGATTTAGTCAAATATCTTTGATTGAAATAAATTTGTCTTTTGGAATCGAGCAAACAAATGAATGTTGAGTCGCCGGACGAAGGACAAAGTAGCAAGACGAAATTCACGGCAATCAGCGAACGATTAACGGCAACACGTGCTTCGTCCATGTTGGGTGTCCCGTACGCGGAAAGCGCGGTCCGCACGCGACGCCGAGTAAGGAGCGTGGAAGTTTCACGTGTCGTGCTCGCGCGGGACATATATCGATGGAAATCGTACAACGCGGAACAGCAGCTGCGGGTGGGTACACGGGCAATTACGTACGAATAACTCGAACGAAAAAGTAGCCGCGATGGCGATCGCGCGCCTCCCGATCTTATCGACACGCGCTTGTCGCGCGCGCCCAGTTGAAGGTCCTAAAGTATGACGGTGCAATCATCAATAATTGGGAAATTTCTTCCGGATGTAATTCAAAGTAGCGAGAGCCGGCGCGCTCATTAATTTGATACAAGCGCTGTCCACCGAAATTCCCGTTATTATTATCGTCGCGAAGACCATTAACCTTCTTTCCGCGACGTGCAGGTTACGCTGCTTCTGCATCGTGTCGCGTATTCAGAAAGGAAACGAGTATAATTTCAAGCCATGTGCGTTTTTACGTGTATATGCATGCACCTAGATACCAATCTAAATGATTTCAAAAATTTCAACGGCTTGATAAATTTCTTTTATATTCCTTTAATTATTAATCACATACACACATATGAATTACTAACCGGAAAAAATTTCCGATATAATTTGATATAAATAATATTTATAAATAATTAGATATAATTATATATAAGGCGTTGCACATAGAATATATCCATATATATATATATATATGGATATATTCTATATATAATTATATGTGAGAAATATTTCCCGCCTCAGGTGTCCATCATTATACGTGTGATATAAATAAACGCATTCGCATTTTTGCGGGTTAAAATAATTTGCAATAAGAATAATTACGTACGTGGCTAATAGCAGGCTAAGGAGCAGTGACGATTATTCAAGTACCAAAAGATATTTGATCGTATCAAGTTAGAGATACTGTTACACGTTATGATCCTCTTATTGAGATCGCGGTATTCTCGATAACATCGAGATTCGAGGAAACAAATGTGGATCAATGAGCAATGGAAAGACGTAAATAGCCTCGTTCGTATTGCGGAGATTGCGTGATTAGATATTACAGAAACGTGATCGCAATCCCAAATTGGCGGGACAAATCGCGAAAATCGAGCCATTTTAGTGCAAAGCAGTTTCGATCGTTCCCGATCGAAAATATTAATTACAATTCTCATAATGTAGCTTGTATTATATTTCGTCATGTCAAATATGAAGAAATTGAAAACTGTGGGATATGTATGTTACGCAGATGAGAAGACTTAGAAGAATCTTGCGTACGCCTATGTACACGCGCGCGTGCAACATACACGCCCTTTGTGGAAATTACACGCTAACCTTATCAAGCTGGTGTCCTTGTGCCTGCCGATGAGGAACGTCTGCACACCATCCAACATCTGATTAGCCCACGGTGGTTTCACCCAGATGATGTACTTGAAGTGACCCGCGTACACTGCAGGCAAGATCCAATTCTCGATACCAATATCGCTGGAAAAAAGAAAAGGAGGGAATACGATAAAAATATGACCCAATAATTACTTTCACGCGTTCGTAGAACTCGTTTATAACCGAACAAAAAGGCGTGCATCCTTCCCTCCTGTTTTTCTCCCCACCCTTTCTCTCTCTCTCTCTCTCTCTCTCTCTCTCTCTCTCTCTCTCTCTCTCTAGACATTACCACATTCATATAATATTCACGTAGATATATAATATTCGATTAGCGCGGAAATTAATAAAATAAGATCAAGCGAAAATTGTTCCTACAAAAACGGTATCAGGTCATAATAAATTGCAGTTTTTATGTGTCAGCATTTCACAGAGAAAAGGATTTAGATTTAATAAAATTTATTTAATTGGAACAAATTTGTCTCTCAGAATGGAGTAAAAAAAACGAATGTTTGATTCAACAAACAAGATTGCTTAGTTTCTCAAACGATATCTTTACTTCAAATAATATATTTCTTTTATATCTGCACTTGCACGTTGTTGTTTAATTGTCAAGTGTAAAAACAAACAATATTTTAACACGTTTTATATTAAAACATCGAGAATATATATGGATATGTTGCTCAACGGGAGGAAAGAATCAATGTATACAGTACATCGGAACATAACATTATATGCTGATACATAATAGACAAATTATATAGCGTCGTGCAATTTTTTACGAATAACCGGCGATTCGATAATTTCCTTATGATTGACTCGAACGGTTCTCGGCGCACCATTGCCGTTCACTAGGAACTCACTCGGTATGCGGAATACGTGGCAGCACATAGCGAAACGCGCCAATTTTTATGAAAACTCGCGGCTTACAGAATGCACTCGTATCGTTTGCACTTCTGAGCGTTGAATGTGATAGATACCAGAAGCAGGTTCTCTATCTCGAGATCGATCTCACCAAGGACAACGTGATTTATATTTACATTAAAATCGTATAAGTCGAATGAATGAAAATATTTTTCCTCAGCTTAAAGAAATCGAGAAATCGTTGGCTTTTCGCGTAAATGATGGTATCGAAGTTCTCGGTGACATCACATATTTCACGACTTTACATATTATGTCTGATAATATTGTTACATTTATCGAATCAATCTTTACTTTAATCAGATATGTTGATCAAATTGACATTAGATTAGCAGAAAAAAGCGAGTTGCAATCGATGTAATTCTAATAGATGTTTTAACGGTCGCAAGTAAACGTAAAGGTCATATTCGCGTGACTGTTGCATTGAAATTTCAATCTTCTTGACTTATTTCGCCATCTTGGATTTAAAAATTACGTTGGTTATTGATGCATCATGAATCGGTAGCATCTCTCTATCTCTCTTTCTCTATTTTACATTAAGTATATGTCGTTTCGATAATATTTGTTCCATTTTTCGCAGCATTACGTACATATTACTACATTATCGAGTCAATCGTCGTCCTACAATCGCTCGTGCCATAAAATGGACATTGGATTATTCTAACAAGCGCGGAGCACGACCGATTTGATCCCGATAGGCGTGTCAACTGTCGCGAGTAACCATAAGGGTCATATTCGCGTGACTGTGATATCGGAATTTAAATCTTCTTGACTTATTTCGCCATCTTGGATGCGGAAATTGTTGTTACATCTCGGTTATTAGCCCATTATATATCTATATGAGAGGCTACTCAGATCTTTCCGTTCATTTTCGATGTAATTATATTACATCTGATAATATCACAATCACGAGAAACAGGTGGCATATGATATTTATGGGGGACAAGTATTCCATACGTACTCGAATAGTCGAAACTTGTCCCAAACCGTGTCGGCTGGTATCGCTGGCGGTATCATATCGGGATGCGAATCCAGATGTATAAACGTGTTGTCTTGAAAGGGCAGGTGTTTCGAGCCAATACACCGATATATATAGTCTAAAACCTGAGGATATTGCAAACACGGGTGTTATAAATATCCGCGCAGGAGATCACCGCTGATCGCGGTCGCGTCGCGAATATAACTATCGATAAGATGCGCCTGAATCTGCGCAATGGATCAATTTGAAATTTCTAATCGGTAGTCACTGACCTCTATGAGCACCCTATAAAAAACTTTCGGTGGAAACAGACAAAAACTCATAAAAATGTCACCATTGTAATGTTACTATATTCGACGTGATGTGATTGGATAATATATATATATACATATATAACTCTTCATACAACATAGATATCCTAAAGCATCCAGCGTCCTAAGGATATTCCTCGGATAAAGTATTCTGTTTGGATTATTGTATAGTTATATATAACTATACCAATACTTCATATACATCTAATTATACATGAACATTTTTCCCCGGGAATATAAGAACAACTCGCGATCTTCATTTGTTTCGAGACTCTGTGAAACTCAAAGTATGTATACAGGAGCCGAATTATTACGATTTACGTACCCGTATATGTATTGTCAAAAATCATAGCAACTCTGTGATAAATAAGTGCTATCGTGCCGGCATCAATATCTAATGATAAAAGAAGACTACATATATAATACTCCACATTCTGACATATTTAGCGCTAAATGCAGCGTCCGATTCTAATCTGTTTATCTCATACGAAGGAGGAATGTGATGTTATTTCAACTGGAAAATCCGAAGAATAGATTTGGCGCTAAATATACACGATCGAAATATAGCCATGAAAATATGTATATATATATATATAGGCTAACTTCGCCACTGCGGCGCTTCAGGAACGCACACCGCGCTGGTAGCGCCGCGGCGCAAATGGCGTGCAAGCGCGCGTCGCTTTGAACGATTTATAACCCCCCGATGGAACTCGGGACTTTTATACGCGTATAATCTCGGGAATTTTTATTACAATTCCTTGCGTAACATGACGAACGCTTGAAAACTCGCAGATTCGCATATATACGTACACATCTACAAGTATAACTTCGATCGCTTCAACGTTATCTTACTGACAAAACTCTCTTAAAAAAAAACTGCTAAATTACAAATCGTCCAAAGCGGGCTTAACGTGCTTCTAAGAAAAGCAAAAATTTCAGATACAATATATTTACATTATATTTATACTGAAATTACACTTAAGGAAAGGGAACATGTACTACTTTTCGCTGTCCGATATCGTGAAGTAGGAGAAAAGCGTCTCGTACTCCACTCCGTCCTCCGAGCGCCCTCCTACTACCTGCCATTATCTCGCGCAAGCGTACAGCTGACCTCCGTCATACACGAGGATGGATAGATATTTAAAGACCTTGGACAGATATCTATCCTCGTCGCACGCGTCGTCTCGGGCGCAATGCCGTGAACGACGCGCTGCTCGATTACGTTCTATCCAGTGATACATGCTCGCGCGCTCACCTCATTGTGGTTCTCCACCACGTAAATCGGTGTCTTCTTGAAGTGCTTGAGCGCGAGCGCCATGTTCCGTAAGAGCTGACCGCGCGGGACTATCGACGACCACCGAAGACAAACGCGATCGCTGAGCCGGCAGCACGGGCGTTTAAAAGCGATCGATTTTCTAATTAACACGAAGTGACGACGACGACGACGTAGACGGTGATAACGATGTGGAAACTCGAGTCACACGGACACGTGGCACGCTGCTTCGCGCGAAAGCACGTGGTCACAGACTGAAGTTTCGCTCTTAGGCGCACACCTCAAACGAACATTTCGCGAATAAAAGACAGGGGCATCAGGAGGGTCAACCCTGAATTCTCACGAGACGAGTTCCGTAAGGTGGTCCTCTCTGTTTCCCCCCCTCTCGTTTTTTTTCTTTCTCTCTCTCTCCCCTCGCGTCTCTCGGAAGGACGGACGGACGGACGGACGAGACCTTAGAAACCTGATCCTTCTAACTCACAGCCGGCCTCCGTACGGCGGACAAAATCCTGTGTCCAGTATCACTTGGCGAATCAGCATATGAGAAAATTTATTCCTGCGGATCGATAGTGTCGTCTCCGTCGTCGCGGGGAATGCAACGAATCGCGCGTATTGCGTTTCTGCAAGCGTTGTTCGCCAATTAAAATTAATTACAAACTGCTGACTATTGGTCACCGTTCTGAACTGGTTGTACTGGTTCGAGAAATCGACATGCACATCGAAGCGTATGAAGCGTAAGCATACAAGATTTCTCATCGGTGTGCGTAAACCGTGTTCTCGAACTAATACAGTCAGCTCAACTGTAAAGAACAAATTAAGTGGAAAGTGTTTTTTTATGCGAATGAAATTATTATTATTATTATTATTAATGATAACTCAGGCGGAAGCAAAGCACACGTTCGTGAATAATTAATTCTATTACACAGAAACGTCAATCCAGTTTATTAACAACCATAGTTAGTGAATTCTCGCATTTATTGTTTTAATTGGCGCATATTTTCAGATTTAAAAGAACACATCAGTCGGATGGGAAAGTCCACTAACTACAGTCATTACTAAACCGGCTTAACATTGCCGTGCAGTCAACAATAACCCTCCCCTCATTTCTATCTTCTACGCGACTTTTATTATACAAACATAATTAGTTCCATCAGCCTCGTCTCGTCTTTCATTCAGTTTATTCGTTCAGTTACTCACGTGTACTTCAACTACGAGAAAGAAAAAGAACCACGTATACTAGAAAAAGAAATTAAAAATTACACGACACGCCTATCATTCGTTCATTCATTCTTCTCGCAATTACTTCACATTTAAAACTCGCAAACGCACGCGTCATATCATCTCACACATGTCATATTTACATACATTACGAATTACGGATCGCTATCTCGGTTTTTGCAAGAAAATAAATACGTGTGCGATAAATTAAATTACTGCCGGCGCACAGCGAATGATAAAGAGCCGGCGGTACTGTTATACCCGATGATATTCGATCGATAAGACCGATACGGACTCCGTTCGTACAGGATCGATCGAATTGCGTAAGCACAGGTAGCGTCGAATCGGTTAAGGAAAGGTTATCCGCGGCACACACTTCACCGTCTCGCCAGTGTATGCGTGTTCAAATCACCGCCGATGCGTGACCTTTCGCTATCGATCGATTCACATGTCATTCCTCGCCGCCGCTTGATCATAAACACATTGTGAGAACTCGCGGAACCCGCCGATGAAACGAAAATGCGCCGGCCCGGTCGTCGATCCCGCGATGTCATGATGTCGTCCTGACCGCATCCGCTTCAGAAACTTTGGCTCGTGCTCGCTCCTACCTTCGAGTAAAATCTAACGAACTTCCGCGTTACTCTTCTTCCTTATCACCTCCGACAAATACTCGGTTCCTACCGGAGAAACAGTACGCTTTACATAATCATTCCTCATCATCGTTAAAGTACGAAGAAGTGTAATCGTTGCTCGTTCACCGTTAGATCCGACAACCTCGCTCGATTACCATTTTTGTTCTCTCCGCGATGGACATCTGTCTCGCTTATTAAAAGACGATATACGCTTTTACGAATTTCTTGTCGATATCGAACTTAATTCTTTGCTTACTTCTTGTTCAGTTTCCGTTACGATCTTTCGCGATTTAACACTGCACTGATTTTTCGCTGCAGAGTTTGAGTTGGAAGTCGCTCGCTATAAATTTCGCTACACCTATATTTAATATAACGCTGATGCAAACACGCCGTGTATTAAATAAGCAAATCGAGCACTTCGCATAATGTGTCACACATGTGTGATAACTGGTCTTTAATGAAAAATAGATGCGGTCACGCATGTGTGAGTGAGAATCATATTCTCGCTTAATGTTTAATTTACTGGAGATAGTCCCTCGTCGATTGCGACAGATATAGCCTTTGCCGAGAGACAGTAAGGAAGTTGTCAACCTGAGGAACTTAGTCGAAATCATGTCGATGGAGAGAAACCTCAATCCTTAATCACAGTAGTCAATTCAGAGATCTTGCGTTTCCTGTAACAAGTCAACCATCATTAGGGATATGCAAATCTGTAACAAGAAACATATCTTGATTTGTAAACTTATGACACATTAATGCTTCTCAGCAGTCTTGATTTAAATTTATTTTTGCGTTATGGATATATCACATTTAAGTATTTTTTTTGTCGTATTTGCTGATCAAAGAGTAACTTTCTCTCGTTTACTACTTTTTTATCTTACATATAAAAGCGAGATATATAAACATCTAGCATCTCGTGATGCGTCAGAATCGAAAAGAAGATATCAGGACGAGACGCTCGATTCGCTGTAACAAAACTTTGCACGAACAAAAATTTTATTCGGAAGGAAGAATCTGGAGCTTACGAGCAATCTCCGAAATTAAACGTCCCAGCGTGATCCCGAGTAATCATTGCTCGTACGAGGACCACATCCCACACATCTCCGCCTCGTAGAGCTGTAAATGTAGCTGATTGGTCTGCATCCTCAGCGACAGCAAGAAATTCTCGACGTCTGAGTTACGCAGGTCAACGTCGTTGTATGCCGAGCCATCGATGTAGAGCTCGCGAGTCCTCGGTTTCTCGTGGCAACCAGTGGTTCCTTCACGGGCCGGACACTGAGACATGTAATTGGGCGACACTCTTCGCGCGTTTGGCGTGTCCTGCATAAGCGGAGAGTTCGTCGTGTGTTTGATGGTCGGATGAAAGCGACCGATTCGATTCGACACGTTCGCCTCTTCCGCATTTGGGAATTCGCAAGTTAGAGGATCGAGGCCGATGTTGCGATTGTCCGTGCGGAAAGCATAATCGCGAGCGTGTAGACGCGGATTGAAGATAGCGTTCGAATAAAACGTCGAATAAAGCGATCGTTGGGTCGTGAACGAATCTGGCAAAGATCTCAAGGGGATCGCCTTCATCCTTGCAGCTTGCGCAGCACCCAGCATTCTCGAGGGATATTTCACGGCGTCGTCGTCTGAATTATCCGTGTGATTCTTCGGGACATCCTTGCCACGCGTCATGCATTTATTAACTTCGCCGTACGATTTGTCCACGCCATTGTAGAGAACGTTATTCGTTTGCACGGGTATGTACTTGGTTCGCACTTGGTTTCTCTTGGTGTCGCTACGATTTGTTTTCCGCCTGGTCCCTTTACTCGCGAACTTTGTTCTCTCCCGATGATTGAATACTTTATCCTCGTTGCCCGAATCCCCGTCAGACAACGTTGACGATAGCACGCTGGAAACGCTGCTAGCTAAGGAGACCTTCTTATCGTCACTTTTACGTCCTCGCATTTCTGCCGACGACAGTCTCTCGCTGTCATTGGAGACTCTTTCGTTTCGATCGTTGGAAATTACGTCGATAGAAAAATCACACTTTGTATCTCCTGATGTCTGACACCTATCTTGACTGTGGACTGTAACTTCGCCAGTACAAATCTCCTGTGCTTCCTGCGTTTCCGAATCATCTTCATGTTTCATCGTTATTCTCGATACATCTGCTTCGGCAGTCGTGTCGCGTTGCACCGCGTCGTCGCTTAAATTTTTAGACTGTTGCACGCCGTCTTCGCTCAACTCGATGCGTTTTAAACTGATCTCTCCAACTTCCTTCTTGAGAAACTCCTTCATATCTGAGAAAGATAAATGTTGATTTTCTATCCTCTTCATTAAATCGTGCTTCTTCGTCTCGCTTAAAAACGCTATGTAATCTATTATTTCCGACAACTTCTCGCTGGGATCTCGATGCTCCCTAAGATACTGTAATGCCTTGCGGTACTCATCAATCTCGGAATCTGACATCATCAAATTCGGCATACGTTCGTCGACGTTTGTAGGATAAGGGAAATAAGCGTTAAATTTGCCGTCCGAACCGTCAAAGCGGCTCTTGAATTGTTCTATTTCCCTGTACATGCCCAACAAATTATTGTGCGAATTAAGTCTCGAGTATACGTATGTGTCGTTTATTTCTTCATCGGTGCGTAGCTCCGGGAAAATGAATAGAAACGCCCGTTTCTGCATAATGAGGAAATGTCTGAGCGCGCAATAATGCTTTTCGTACACCAGTTTATGTATAGAATCAGTCATGTTTGTGTACGTATCGCTTAAAAATTCGATCTCAAAATCAAGCTTTTCCTTCCATCTGGCAGCTGTCTTCAACGGAGTTTCATCATCGTTCTCATCGAATTCTTCGATATACTTCGATAGATCAGCGCTTAATTCGCTCCACTTCCGAGATCTGGTATCTGATTCCTTCGTGTTCAACGGTGCTGAATCAGAATTCTTCGCGGCACACGTATCCTGAGATGCTTCCGTAGAAATTTTATCATCAGCCACGACAGCAGTTAACACATCATTTTCTTCTTTCCTTTCGGCTTTCTCGTCAGAAATCTTTATATATTCACAAATTTGCTTAATCTCATCGCTAGACAATTCGCGGTCCCGAATATTCGAGAGATCCACTTCGAAAACAACATTTTCATTTAATTTCTCCAAAACGGTGGGTTCGTTCGAATAAGGTTTTATCGTAAATCTGTATATTCCTTCTGAACTGACAGATGAGTCCGATTGAGTAGACTTAGCGGTTGATATTTCTTCTTGTTCCTCAAATTCCTCGAGTTGCTGGAGATCAATTTTTCTCACGTCGTGTTCGTTATTATGAAGCTCTTCTCTTTTGTTATCTAAATAGGACTTTTTTTGTTTCGTATATATTTTCTCATTGGTGATGATTTGGTCGCATTTGCTATCTTTCTGCGAGACACTTTTACATTTGTCTTGTTTCGTTGCAGAACTATTCGTACCGTTATTTACCAATGGATTGTTGCCCGTTGAGGGCAAAGTCTTCGTCGACGAACTTATAACCATAGGTGCGCCATTTTCGGATTCGAGAATCCCTTGGTCAATATCCGAAAGTTCCGTGACATTTGTCTTGGATATTGAATAAACTTTCTCGAATATTGTAGTGTCATCGACCCAAACATCTTCCGTATAGTCGTGGCCGAGCTTGAACAGATAAAAGTTCGATCCACCAATGAAGGTCAATAATTTTCTGAACGACGGAAGCTCCCTTTCCGAAACGATCGTGATGGAAATTCCGCGCGATCCGTAGCGCCCAGCTCTGCCAATTCTATGCAAATATGTTGTCGCTTCCGCAGGTACATCCAAGTTTACAACCATGTTGACATTTTCTACATCAATGCCTCTCGCAGTTAAATCCGTGGTCATCATAATTCTACAATTGAAATTCCTTAATTTTTCCATTACTTCTAATCGCTTAGCCATGTCCTGACTTCCAACAATATACGTGGACGAGAAGCCCATAGAGTTAATTTTATTGCTGACCGACTGGGCTCTGTAATAGCAAATATATAAGCAACTGCTACGAGTGAACGTTAGAAAAATATATAATTCAAAATGGTGCTACATACCGCGATTGATAATTTAAAAAGACTATACATTGCTTAAATGGAATTTTGGTAAATATTTTCTTCAATTCATTCACTTTTATTTGTACCTAAAAATATAGATAGAAGATACCAGATTCGTTTGTTGACATGAAAAAAAAACCTGCTATTTAATCTCTAAATAATCTCTAAAAATAAACTGAACCTGTTTCATGCTATTAAGATGTGAGGGAACCACCACCAAAAATTGTTTAACTCCAATTAAAATTGGTCCATCAAGATCTGGCGACGTCAATTCAGGTGAACACATGTATGTTTGCAAGAATGTTTCCAAATCTCCAGGGTAAGTAGCACTCGAGGCTATAATCTGTTTGTTCGACGGTAGTTTGGAAAATATGTAACTGCAAGACCAAATAATTTCAATAATCTCCTTAAGTCAGGTTAATTATTTCAGTATTTTCGATACTCGATAATCTACAAACTCCATACTGACTTGATATCTTGCTGAAAGTTTATTTCCATCAATTTGTCTGCTTCGTCAAGGACAAGTAACCTAATAGTTGAAACTTTAAGTAGTTTTTTATCGATTAAGTGCTTGATTCTACCTGGGGCACCAACTGCTATATGGCATTCATTCAGTCTCTTCCTATCGTGATCTAATGGTAATCCTCCCACAAAATATTCAACTTTTAATCCTAAAATAACGAAGACGATTCAGAGATTAAAAAAGATTTTTCTCTAACAAATATGCAATGCAGTAATGTTATAAAAATTACCTTTTATTTCTGAGCCTATTGTCATAAGAACGTCAGATATTTGAATAGCTATTTCTCTGGTAGGTGCTACTATTAAGGTTTGTGGAGATGATATTTCAATATCTAATATTTCAAGAGCTATAATACCAAATACAACAGTCTTTCCAGTTCCTGATTTTGCACGCACTATCAAATCTACAAGATATCAATTTTTTTTTAACATAAAGAAATATTGTTATTATTTGTTATATTTTAAGTATTATTTTATATTCAATATTCAATACCAAATCCACAGCGACCTAGAGGAATGGCTTTCAATTGTATAGGAGATGGTCGCTGAAATCCAGCAAGTGACAATCCATCTAAAATTTTTTCTGGAAGTCCCATTTCCATAAACGTAACATTTTCTTGTATCTTTATATCGTTTGTCCTTGATTTCTTGTTTATGTCATGTGCGGAGTATCGAAGCATTTTCCTACACAAACATAAGATACAAGTATTATAGAACAACAAATTATACAAGCAAGTAAATAACAAAAAGCGGAGATTTTTCTTACAATTATTGTGGCTTTTATTAAATTTTTCTTTTTTATAAATTTCATTATTTTTATGTCATTTATCGATTTCTAAATATTAAGTATTAAATATATATATATCATCTATTTAAAAACAATAATTTCTACGTAAAATACGCCTTGTAATACACATCAAACTAAGTATTAATAAATTTATATATATAATGAGTCACGTAAAGAAATATATATACCTACTTTTTAAAAGATAAGTACAATAAACGTAACGGAAAATATTTATAACGAGATGGAACGTGAACCGCTGTCAGTCTCCTAACCGCTTTTAATCTAACCTAAAACTACAACTACATGTATTGAAGAAACGCTAGCGTTGTATACTCGGTCACAGAGCAGTTGCAACAATTGACGGTCTGGAGAAAAAGATTCTGGAACTAAATTACAGAAATAACGGGTCTAATAATTCCGTAAACCCGTTATTTCTGCAATGGGTATATTAGGTCTGTTTTTTTCGAAACTTTCTGCACTAGTGCACACTAGTGCAAGGAGTTTACACCAAAGTTCTTTACTATACTCTGACGTTTCAGCTGTGCAGCGAAAACGAACAGACTTCTTTATTGCACTCTTGCACTGAACTGAATTATTTTGTACTAATCTTTCCCAGTGCGGTTCAGTTCAGTTCAGTGCAGTTCTAGTGCAGTTTTAGTGTAACGAAAAAAAACAGATCTATTGTTACGTCCACGATAGATAACTATATAGGGAAATTTGAAAGTAATAAAATCAGTGACTTACATGGTTGGTCAACAGAGTGATGACTTCGCTGGTCGTTATATGATGGAGTGTACTTCTATTTCTCAAGTAGTATGACTCAAGGATTTGCCAGACGGACTATCCATTATAATAAAAAACATAGGCAAAGTTCAACAAGCTATAACTTTCGTAAAAATGACTACGAAGATCGTTTAAAAAGCACATTAAAGCTTGAAGTCTCTAGTTTTTAACCACATTATCTATATTAATGTTGTCGTTCATTTTCATCAAGATATATTTCTAGTTAAACGAAAAATGGCGACCGCTCAATTTCAAACTTTGTTTTTGAGTTTTTAGAGCGAAAAATTATTTCATTCGAAAATGTGACACAGACGTTTTAAAGAGAAAACTTTAAACTTTTTACGTATTTATTAACGAATGTCGTACATAATCTCTATTAGAAAACTTTAAACTTTTTACGTATTTGTTAACGAATGTCGTACATAATCTCTATTAGGCTGGCTTCCTCATTAAAGTCGAAAACGCTCTGATCAGATCTGAAAGGAGAGAATGGTAACATTGTAGCCGCGGGTTTGTTATAAATTGCTATCCAAGGCTTGGCTTTTATCTTACATAATCGTTATGTCGGTAGTGACGCATGAGTGAGATCAGCGATCAGATTAATAGAATGTGTGTTGTAATACCGGCAGTCGCCGGCAGAGATTCGTACGTGCAGTTTCGATCGCACGTTAAATCAGGCTTGCTCGTTCGTTCGCACAATTGTGAATCGATTCCGACAAGATATTGTGATAACATTATTTATCAATGTACGACATGCACTGGACGATATTGTTATCCATCGTGATAGGAACCCTGGGCATCTATTATTTCTTTTCAAAAAGATTTCATTACTTTAAGAGACACAATGTCATCCACGTGCTACCCTTTTCGATATTTGGTGATTTGTGGCCGATTATATTTCGCCAAATATCATTCGCCGCTTACATACAGAAATTGTACACTTCCAAGCCGGACGCCAAGTACTTCGGGGCCTACGCTATGATGAAACCTATAATCTTTCTTCGCGATCCAGAGATCATGAAAGAAGTTCTCATCAAGAATTTTGACGCCTTCCCCAATCGCGAAGGTTTCGGCCTCATTAACGACCCCTTGTTCTCGAAAAATTTGTTTTCTCTCCAAGGACAAAAGTGGAGAGACGTGAGAACTTTATTGAGCCCGGCTTTTACGTCCAGCAAAATGAGGACCATGTTCATCCTGATGTCGGAGTGTGCTGTGGAGTTCGTTAAATCTCTGTCGAAGATATCGGCGGATAAAGGTGACATGGATATGAAGGACGCGTTCACCAGGTATACGAACGACGTGATCGCCACGTGTGCATTTGGAATTAAGGTCGATTCTATGAGCGATCCTACAAACAAGTTCTATGTTAATGGTAAAGACGCCAGTAGCTTCCAAGGGCTGCGTAGTTTGAAGTTAATCATGTTCGCGACCTTCCCGCGGCTCATGCAAGCCCTTGGTTGGAAATTCCTGAAGAAAGACGTGAGAGAATTCTTCCAAGACATTGTGAAGGATACCATCGACACACGCGATGCGAAAAACATCACACGCCCTGACATGATACAGTTGATGATGGACGTCAGAGGTAAACGCGAGGCTGAAAGAGAACTCACTATTGAGGAAATAACCGCGCAGGCGTTTATCTTCTTCCTCGGCGGCTTCGAGACCAGCTCGACCGCGATGTGCTTCACGGCTCAGGAGATCGCAGCCAATCCGGACGTCCAGGCGAAGCTGCGGCAAGAGATCGACAAAGCTCTGGAGGATTCAAACGGCGAAGCGACTTACGAAGTTATCAATCGCCTGGGATATTTAGACGCGGTAATAAACGAAAGTCTCAGATTACATCCGCCCCTCGTCTCCTCCGAAAGACAATGCGAGAGAGATTATGAATTGCCGCCCGCATTGCCCAGTGAGAAGCCTTTCATTTTGAAGAAAGGCATGTCTGTTTGGATTCCACATTACGCACTCCAGCGCGATGAGAAGTACTTCGACGATCCGGACAAATTTCGTCCCGAGAGATTTTTGGACGACAACGCTTACCATAACTCTCCTTGTTACGCACCGTTCGGATTAGGGCCGCGAATGTGCATCGCCAGCAGATTCGCCATATTGGAGATTAAAGTATTGCTGTTTCATCTATTGGCGCGATGTGAGCTGAAACCGGGCGCGAAAGCAATTTTGCCCATAAAATTGAGCAAATCAGCTTTCATGATGGCTCCAGAGGGAGGATTCTGGCTGAGAGTTAAACGTAGAAACGATGTGCATTTTACAATTGGGTCGACGACAACGCTCGATAACAATGTTGACAATTTTGGAAAAATGTTTTAAGTGCGCTGACAGTTGACGGAATCATGTAGACCCGATCGTAGATGCACCCAAGTAACACATGGTTTTATATATGTTTTTTGAACGTACTATATATAAAGTTTCATAATCGTAAAGAACCATTTAGAAATGTTTAAACAGAAATGGATTTGAAAGCATAATATAAGAAACGTAATTGTTACATTTTTACAGGAAATAAGAAATATTTGTTTTTCCTTTTCAAAAATTATAATTTTCTTCATATATAATAGTTACAATAGTCCTTTTTGAAACCTGGAAAGAATCCTAAGTAATAAGGTGATGTCAAATGATGTTTTAATGACGTTTTATTAACGTAAAAAATCTTAATAAATATTTCATATTTAATATGAAATAATTAATAAATATACAATATAATTTAGTCATAAATAATAAGTTATCTTTTGAAATTTAGATAGAAATATTGAAAAAATTATGTAGTATAATATATACTTATTTAGTAAATAGTAAATAATTTAAATTTTATTTGATAAAAAATAAGCTTTTAAGCACATAGAATTCTAAAACATATTTTAATTTATATGGTTTGTCGATTTTTATGATAATTTAATATTACATTTGGTCTATCTTCTTTAGTTTATAAGATAAAAATAGCAAAGTTCGTTATATAGCATATAGCATTATATTTATATTCGTCGCATTTCAACTATGTTGCGTTACTTTTAATATCTGTTAATATTTAATGTCTATTAGTAAATATATTATATAAATAAATAAATAAATATATATATATACATATATTTGTAAATAAGATAAAGTAAGGATATATTATATCAGTCGCAGAAGTATTATCAAAGCCGTTGGAATTATTGATAGCTATCCGATCATCGAGATAAAAAACCTAGCGCGGGTATCAGGTATCAGGTATTATCCGAGTTTTGGGCAAATATTATCTTTTAGGTGAGACCGAGTGTGATTAAAAGAGATGAATGGGATAACCAAGCGTTAGAACCAAAATTACGGAGCGACGCAAACATATAAAGTGACCCTTTTTTCTCTCTTTATATTACAAGTATATTGCAGTTGTGTTTTCCAGGGATTCTTTCTCTTTTCTCCATAGAGAGAAAACTGTTACAGTGGGCGTTTCAAATTGTTTGCGTTTTAAATGTTACATTATTCTTTAAATAAATATATTTCTGTAACTAAGAAATATTTTTCTAATCAATAAAACACGAAAATTCCAATCAAATAATTATTTAGTTAAGAGTATTGAAATAAATTATTTTTTTTAATCAAATAAAAATTATTTCATGTTAACAAATTTTTTTTTCAATATATAATATCGATCGTTAAAATAATTGAGAGATTTAACACTTATTGTTATATTGCATAATTCGGGGTTATCAGGTATTATCCGAGTTTTAGACAAATATTACCTTTTAGGTGAGACATCAAATTCGGCAATGCATTAAGAACCTAATAATGGACAGCAGTAACATTGTGAATTCTAGTTTGTGCGATGCGTACTGTGCGAGTTGGATTCTCGTATCTTATATAACGTTATATAGAGTATGACGCATCGATTAGATTAACGCCTAGATTGAGAGGCTGTATGCGGCGATGCTGACAGTTCTCGGCAGAAACTCGTTTGTGCAGTATCGTGCATACGCTACGTTTACTTTGAACTACTCGTCTATTCGCACACACATTCGTGAGCCAATTCCGACAAGATTTTGTGACAAAATTTACCATGGATTACTGGACAATATCGTTATCCATCGTGATAGGAGCTGTGGGAATTTATTATCTCTTCAAAGAATTCAATTACTTCAAGAGACACAATATTATCCATATGCCGCCTGTTCCGATATTCGGCTCTATGTTGCCACTAGTACTTCGCCGCTTGTCAATCGCAGAATTCGCCGAGAATTTATACTATTTCAACCCGGACGCCAAATACATTGGATTATACGCTGCAACGCAACCTATCATCTTTATTCGCGATCCGGAGCTTATCAAAGAAACCTTCATTAAGAACTTTGACAACTTTCCCAATCGCATAGGATTTGGCTACATAAACGATCCCTTGTTCTCAAAGAACTTATTTTCCCTTCAGGGGCAAAAGTGGAAAGACGTGAGAACAATGTTGAGTCCAGCATTTACAACCAGCAAAATGAAGACCATGTTTACTTTGATGTTGGAGTGCGCTGTGGACTTTGCCAAGTATTTGTCGGAAATATCAACGGATAAAAACGATATGGACATGAAGGACGCTTACACTAAATATGCGAACGATGTGATTGCCACGTGTGCTTTTGGAATTAAAATTAATTCTTTACGTGATCCCACAAACGATTTCTACGTTTTCGGTAAAGAGGCTACTAACTTCCAAGGGTTTCTTAGTAGTATCAAGTTTTTCCTTTTTGGAAACTTTCCGAAACTCGTGAAAATTCTCGGTTTGAAATTTATAAGAGACGACGTGGGAAATTTCTTCAGAAATGTTATCAAGTCCACAATCGACACCCGTGACACCGAGAACATTACACGTCCCGATATGATACAATTGATGATGGATATCAGGGGTAAACGTGAAGCTGAAAAAGAGCTCACTATCGAGGAGATGACCGCGCAGGCTTTCGTTTTCTTCCTCGCTGGCTTCGAAACCACTTCAACCGCGATGTCCTTCATCACTCAGGTGATTTTAGACAAACCGGATGTCCAAGCGAAGTTGCGGCAAGAGATCGACAATGTTCTGGAGAATTCCAACGGAGAAGTGACTTACGAAGCTATTAATCATCTTGAATATTTGGATGCGGTAATAAGCGAAATTCTCCGACTCTATCCACCTATCGCCGTACTGGAAAGATTATGCGAGAAGGATTACGAATTACCGCCCGCGTTGCCGAATAAGAAGCCTCTTACTTTAAAGAAAGGTCAGGTTGTCTGGGCACCGGTTTACTCAATTCAGCATGACGAGAAATACTTTGATGATCCGGAAGAATTTCGTCCGGAGAGATTCTTGGGCAACAACACGTACCACAACTCTCCTTATTACGCGCCATTCGGTTTAGGGCCGCGAATGTGCATCGCCAATAGGTTCGCACTGCTGGAGATTAAAGTGTTGCTGTTTCATCTACTGGCACGATGCGAACTGAAACCTTGTACGAAAACTGTATTGCCTATAAAATTCAGCAAAGCAGTCGTAATGGCTGTCAAAGGTGGATTCTGGTTGAATGTTCAACGTAGACACGATATACATCCTACAATTCGGTCAACGACGTTGAAGAACGATGTTACTAATATTTAAAAGACATTCTAAGTGCATTTAAACTAATTTGAATCATATGGGGCCGGTTGTAGATGATAGCAAAAAATGAAATTTCTCGAAAGAATCTTACATGTTTGTATTCTGTCTCGGTATTAAATAATAACGTATATTTATATTGATATTATATATATATATTTTTTTTTTTTTAAGGATAGGATATAGCAAAATATAAATACCTAACTCTTTATTCTTTGTTTAGCTTGATGTTTTATATATTTCATCTGTTTGGGGATATGCGGCATTTTCAGCGCGTGGAATTTATGCCACAGCATGAATTCATGTCCTAAATAGTTTTTTGCAACAAAAATGTTATACTATCATTTTGCGATGTCATTTTTTAATTTACAGCAGTCGTCCTATTGCTCCATTTTTTGTTTTTCAGTAACTACTGCATGACTAGGCAGCTGTAGAAATCTTAAACGTGTTGTTATTCTCTTACGTTCTTAGAATATTCTTTAATGTCTCTTGAGTTGCAGTTCAATAGTCTCGAGACTGTATCATAACATGTCTAAAAATCATAGTCGAACGGAGGAAAGTACATTCAGTTCTATTTAGTTCTAAAAAAGCATTACCCAATATTATACGGTGATAATTGAATTTTGTTTTTTTCAATTTCTATAATATTAATATATGTTTGTAAGCAAATAATATTGTATGGGAAATAATAACGATATTTAGTGTTACAACAAACAACTATGTTATCTTACATTTACTCTGCGCCATATCACAAGTATATAAAAACACGTCAAAGTTATTATCAGATATCGCGGAAATTGTTATCTGTTATGACTAGCCACTCAAGCTCAGACTGCAAAACAGCACGCTGTAATGTCGCAGATTGCCGTTGAAGCTGCACGACAATTGACTCAATATTTTGGACGACATCTTAGAAATATACTTGTAACATTATACTTGTAACATCATTTTTCGTTTTAAATGTTAGATTTTTTCTATAAATAAATATTTTTCTATAATCAAGACACATTACTTTTGATCGATAAAATATATTAATTTTAATCAATAAAATATATTAATTTCAATCAAATAATTATTTAGTTAAGTGTTTTGAAATAAATTATTTTATTGAATCACATAACAACTTTTTGGTTTTAACAATTTTTTTAAATGTATAATATCGATTGTTAAAATCATTGAGAGATTGAACATCTATTGTCGTATCGCATGATTCAGGGTTGTCAGGTATTATCCGAGTTTTAGGCAAATATCTTTTATGTGAGACATCAAATTCGACGATGCGTTAAGAATCTAATAATAGACAGCAATAACATTGGGGGTTCTGGCTTGTGCAAGGTGTTACTGTGAGAGCTGGATTCTATCTTATATGACGTCGTTTCAAAGATGACGCATCGATTAGAATAGTATATAGAGAAGTGTACCGCGATATTACCAGTTGCCGGCAGACACTCGTATGCGCAGTATCGCACGCACGTTAAATCATTTTGAACTACTCATCTACTCGTGCATACGTACTTTCGTGAGCCAATTCCGGCAAGATTTTGTGACAAAATTTACCATGGATTACTGGACAATATCGTTATCCATCGTGATAGGAGCTGTGGGGATTTATTATTTCTTCAGAGAATTCAATTACTTCAAGAGACGCAATCTTATCCACGTCCCGCCTATTCCAATATTCGGCTCTATGTTGCTGTTAATACTTCGCCGAATGTCAGTCATAGAACTCTTGGAGAAGTTATACTATTTCAATTCGGACGCCAAATACATTGGATTATACGCTGCAACGCAACCTATCATCTTTATTCGCGATCCGGAGCTTATCAAAGAAACCTTCATTAAGAACTTTGACAACTTTCCCAATCGCATAGGATTTGGCTACATAAACGATCCCTTGTTCTCAAAGAACTTATTTTCCCTTCAGGGGCAAAAGTGGAAAGACGTGAGAACAATGTTGAGTCCAGCATTTACAACCAGCAAAATGAAGACCATGTTTACTTTGATGTTGGAGTGCGCTGTGGACTTTGCCAAGTATTTGTCGGAAATATCAACGGATAAAAACGATATGGACATGAAGGACGCTTACACTAAATATGCGAACGATGTGATTGCCACGTGTGCTTTTGGAATTAAAATTAATTCTTTACGTGATCCCACAAACGATTTCTACGTTTTCGGTAAAGAGGCTACTAACTTCCAAGGGTTTCTTAGTAGTATCAAGTTTTTCCTTTTTGGAAACTTTCCGAAACTCGTGAAAATTCTCGGTTTGAAATTTATAAGAGACGACGTGGGAAATTTCTTCAGAAATGTTATCAAGTCCACAATCGACACCCGTGACACCGAGAACATTACACGTCCCGATATGATACAATTGATGATGGATATCAGGGGTAAACGTGAAGCTGAAAGAGAACTCACTATTGAGGAAATAACCGTGCAGGCATTCGTTTTCTTCCTCGGTGGTTTCGAAACCGTTTCAACCGCGATGTCCTTCGTTACTCACGTAATCTCAGACAAACCAGATGTGCAGGCGAAGTTGCGGCAAGAGATCGACAATGTTCTGGAGAATTCCAACGGAGAAGTGACTTACGAAGCTATTAATCATCTTGAATATTTGGGTGCAGTGATAAACGAAGTTCTCAGACTCTATCCACCTGTTGTCATACTGGAAAGATTATGCGAGAAGGATTACGAATTACCGCCCACGTTGCCGAATGAAAAGCCTTTTACTGTAAAGAAAGGTCAGGTTGTCTGGGCACCGGTTTATTCGATTCAGCATGACAAGAAGTATTTTGATGATCCGGAGGAATTTCGTCCGGAGAGATTCTTGGGCAACAACACGTACCACAACTCCCCTTATTACGCGCCATTCGGGTTAGGGTCACGAATGTGCATCGCCAATAGATTTGCATTACTGGAGATTAAGGTCTTGTTATTTCATATATTGGCGCGATGCGAATTGAAACCTTGTGCGAAAACTATATTGCCTATAAAATGCAGTAAGTCAGCAAGTATAACAATAGCTGCCGAAGGTGGATTCTGGTTGAATGTTCAACGCAGAAGTGATATGCATTCTACAATTCGATCAATGACGCTCGATGATGGTGTTACTAATATTTAAAAGACATTCTGAGTTGAAGCATGGAAACTAGTCCGAATCATATTGAACCGGTTGTAAATAAAGCAGGAAATGAAATTTCGCGAGTTTTATATGATTGGCTGGGTGTGGGTCTGGGTTGATTCTGTCTGGATATTAAATAATAATGTATATTTATATATTGTTACTATATATTACACACACACACGCGCGCGCGCACGCCCGCACACATACGTTAATGTTTCAATAAATGACTACATTTTCATGTCCTAAATAGTTTTTATAACAATAATATTATACTATCATTTTGCGATGTCATTTTTAAATTTACATCGGTCGTGACGTTCTATTGTTCCGTTTTTTTAGTAACTATTACGTAACTAGCTGTTGAAATTTTAAACTTATTATATTCTCTAACGTTTTTAGAACATTCTTTTTGCCTCTTGAGTTGCAATTCAATAGCTGTCTCGAGACAGTATTATAACATGAATAAAGATCATAGTCTAACGTAGCAAAGTACGTATAATTCTTAGTTCAATTCTTAAGAAGCATTACTCAACATTATACGATGATAATCGAATTTTTTTCAATCTCTATCAATATATAATTGTACACAAATGATAATGTACATAGAATAATAACGATACTTACTATTATAACATCATCGATCATGTTATCTTGCGTTAATTCTACGCCATATTGTATCACAAGTATATGAAAATACTTTAGAGTTTTTATCATATATCTCGGAAATTGTTATCTGTTATGACCAGCCCACTCCACTCCACTCCACACAAACTGCAAAGCAGCACACTGCAATGTCGTGGATTGCCGCTGAAATCATACGGCAATTGATTTAATCTTGGACTACGTCTTAGGAATATATTTGTAACATTATACTTGTAATATCGTACATTTGTTATAAAATAATGTGCCACGACACTAATAGTTATCAATAATTGTGAATTCTGATTTATGCGATGCATTACTGTAAGATCTGCACTTTCATATCCTATATAACGTCATATCGAGTATGACGCATCGATTACATCACCATCTAGATTGAGAGGGTGTACGCTGCGATGCGGACAGTTCTCGGCAGAAACTCGTCTGCGCAGTATCGGACGTACGTTACATCACTTTGAACTACGTCTATTCGCGCACACGTACACGTTCGTGAGCCAATTCCGACAAGATTTTGTGACAAAATTTACCATGGATTACTGGACGATATCGTTATCCATTGTGATAGGAGCTGTGGGAATTTATTATCTCTTCAAAGAATTCAATTACTTCAAGAGACACAATATTATCCACATCCCGTCTTTTCCGATAGTCGGCCCTATGTTGCCGCTAATATTTCGCCGAATATCAGTCATAGAATTGTTTCAGGAGTTATACAATTTCAATCCGGACGCCAAATATGTTGGATTCTACGTTGCAACGCGACCTGTCATCTTACTTCGCGATCCAGAGCTCATGAAAGAAATCTTGATAAAAAATTTTGACAGCTTTCCCAATCGCATAGGATTTGGCACCGTAAAAGATGCCTTGTTCTCAAAAAACTTATTTTCTCTTAAGGGGCAAAAATGGAGAGATGTGAGAACAATGTTGAGTCCAGCATTTACATCCAGCAAAATGAAGATCATGTTCACCTTGATGTTGGAGTGTGCTGTGGATTTTACCAGATCTCTGTTGGAAATATCAACAGATAAAAGCGAGATGGACATGAAGGACGCCTTCACCAAATATACGAACGATGTGATTGCCACATGTGCTTTTGGAATTAAAGTTAATTCTATGAGTGATCCCACAAACGATTTTTACGTTTATGGTAAAGAGGTTACTAGCTTCCAAGGGCTGCGCGGTCTCAGGTTTTTCTTTTTTTCTGCCTTTCCGAGACTCACGCAATTTCTCGGTTTTAAACTTATAAGCGACGACGCAGGACGTTTCTTCCGAAATGTCATCAAGTCCACAATCCACACCCGAGACACCGAGAACATTACACGTCCCGATATGATACAATTGATGATGGATATCAGGGGTAAACGTGAAGCTGAAAAAGAGCTCACTATCGAGGAGATGACCGCGCAGGCGTTTCTTTTCTTCTTCGGTGGCTTCGAGACCAGTGCAACCGCGATGTCCTTCGTTACTCAGGTGATCTCGGACAAACCAGACGTCCAAGCGAAGTTGCGGCAAGAGATCGACAAAGTTCTGGAGGATTCCAACGGGGAAGTGACTTACGAAGCTATTAATCATCTTGAATATTTGGATGCTGTAATAAACGAAGTTCTGCGACTATATCCACCTAACGTCATGCTGGAGAGATTATGTGAGATGGATTACGAATTACCGTCCGCATTGCCGAATGGGAAGCCTTTTATTTTGAAGAAAGGTCAAGTTATCTGGGCATCGGTTTATTCAATTCAGCATGACGAGAAGTATTTTGATGATCCGGAAGAATTTCGTCCGGAGAGATTCTTGGGCAACAACACGTACCACAACTCTCCTTATTACGCGCCATTCGGTTTAGGGCCGCGAATGTGCATCGCCAATAGGTTTGCATTGCTGGAGATGAAGGTCATGCTGTTTCATTTATTGGCGCTGTGCGAGCTGAGACCTTGTGCTAAAACCGTATTGCCCATAAAAATGAGCAAATCCACTTTTGCAATGGCTCCGGAAGGTGGATTCTGGCTGAATGTTCGACGTAGAAACGACGTGCATCCTACAATTCGGTCGTTGACGCTGAATAACGACGCTGCTAATTTTTAAAAGACATTCTTGGTGCGCTAAAATGTGAAAAAAAAAACAATCATATCGAGCTGGTTGTAGGTAACGGTAGGAGATAAAATTTCGGGAAAAAGCTTTATATGTTTGTATTCTGTTGAGGTATTAAATCATAATGTACATATATAACTTTTCAGGTGTGCTTAATTTTGTAAAATATTATCTTCCGATGTAAGTTGCAACTTAGTTTTGCAACAGTCTAGAGGCGATTTTCAACGAAAAGAGATAAGCAATCTCAAAAGGGAACGATAGGGCTCGGATAGCTCATAGTTCAGTTTCGTAGAATATAACTTGTATCGTTCCAAACTTGTCAATTACAGAAGATTCTGCGTGGGTCTTACACGTTCTGTTCTGTTCGTAAATTTTAATATATACATCGATGCGATATTAAAATCGTCAGATGACAACGATAATTAATAATAAAACTGTATTGTTTATTATACACAAGAGAAACATCGAGCGCTTTAATTAAAGAAAGTACATATATGTATATATATATATTCTCTTCTAAATTCAGAGCAAGCCCTGCATCTCCTGCATGAACTGCATATACGCGTCGTCTTTCGTTTTGGGTTGCGAGGTTCTGGGCGGCTGCGTCTCCGGCAATCTTTCCGTGATCCTGGAAATACTGCTGGACTTCTTCTTGTCGTCTCTCTTCACGCGGAGAGATGTCGGCAGGAATCTGGTAACGTCCGCGGCCAGATTTCTAATTTGCGGCTTCGCCTCTATGGTGGTGCTGCTCTTTCCGTCTTTGTCCTTCCTGTTGATCAATTGCGGCGCGGCAGAAAGGACGTTAGGCGTCTTGGGTTGCGCGCCTGTTCCGGCTTGTGCTTGCAGTTGGGGATTCGTTATATTCGACATATTCGACATCTGCATCTGCGGCGGTGGCATTCTGGGTATGCTGGGTGGGCCGGGTCTTAATATTCTCGGCATCCCAGGAGGAGGGCCTGTAGACAAAGTAAAAGATAAACGCCTTTTATCTCATACGCAGTTAAACAGATTCAACCGTCAATAGCCAGAAAAACTCAAGCCTCTTTTACTAATAACTTCTTAACAAACAACGAGTGAGATGGTTAAAACCTTTCGATTGTTACTCGGGAAGACGATCTCTATAATATACGGGAAGATCAAGATCATCAGGGGAAGGGCAAGAGTGAATATTTAACTAAAATAACAACGTAAGAAAGAATCTTAACGCGCGAACAAGCGATAATTACCAGGTGGTAGTCGAAGTCCGATGCGAGGCGGCGGTGGCGGCGGCATTCTAATGTGTAACGGTGGAGGCGGTGGCCTATAGAGCAACGGCGGGGGCGGAAGACCCATCGGTGGCATCGCATGTTGTTGCGTGTGCTGTGTGTGCGGGTGAGACGTGTGTTGGGTATGAGTGGAGAGATGATCGGACGCTCCAGGTGGTTCCAGCTCCTCGTCGTCTGCCTTCGTGTTGGACTTGCCACTACTATTGGACTTGGAGTTTGATTCGCTTTCGGTCTCGAGCAATGACAGCCGAGCGTTTAGATCCTGGGCGCGTTCGGTCTCCCTTTTCTTATGGACAACTTCCATCTCTCGCATAAATTGATCGATATCCTGCCCGGCCATCGCTAACATCTTCTGCTGCAATGTGGTGGGCTTGACCTTCGCCATGTCTCTGTCCTTCTCTTTCTCCTTCTCCGCGTCCTTCTCCTTGTTCTCTGACTCCTGCTTGTTTTCCTCTTTGTCGTCGGCGAATCGTATCGTTCTCGATTTCGCTGGCGGATCTTTAACCTAGCGAACGTTAAAATTACTTGCGTATTTAACAGCGAGTAATCAATGTGTAGACTGTAAAACACTAACAACGTGGATTATAAATTAATAGTCTGCATATGGTATTCCGAAGTTGTTCTAAACTAAGAAATACTTTAGTTTGATATTATTATGCTAACATTAGTAATACCAGTAGTAGTATCTACTTAATAGCGCGATTATTAATATTTTATAATTCACCATTCTTATTATTTTTCAATTCACTTCGTTTGATTCACGTACATTTTCAACCGTGTCCTCGTCGTCGCTTGATAGATCAGGTGGTGGGAACGGTGGTACACCAGGCGGTTCCTTATTGGGTGCTAATGTAGGCACAACTGGAGAATTCGCGTAAGCACTAGTCTTCTTTAAGATACTCGGCGGTATTGGGATATTCATCAATGGATGATGCTGCGATATATATGGGTGAGGCGGATATATATGTGCAGGTGGTTGTGGCATGTCTGGTAGTGGGATCTGCGATGTCAAGGAGCCTGTCAGTGAGAGAGAGACAGCATGTATAGGTTATATTATTTTTATTAATATTCTCTCTTAGTTATATACCTACCTGGATACATTCTGGATATGTCGTTAGCCGCCGATGGCAACGGAATCTCATCAACTTGTACTTGCTGCGCATGTCGCACGGCTTCGAAGTAAGAAACCAGTTCTATCCTTCTACGTTCATATTGTATTAACTGTTCTTTCAACTCCGCCCACTTTTCTTGATCATCTTTTGCCTAAAACAACATATTAATTATACTGTGATGCTAAATAACAGTTATTTCCTCTCATTCTTACGCTCCTTCATCCCTACCTATATATATTTATTCTCTCTCTTTCATGTCGTAAGCTTACCAATATTTATTGGAGAAAACTTATATATTATGTTTTTATTTATGTACTTACATACATTTTTAAGACTCGCTCTAGAGTCTCCTTAAGTTTCTTTCGTTTATCTTTCAACACTTTTTCATTTAGAGGCGGTGGTTGCATTACGTTGTACTCTACGAAAGGAAATATAAAGATATACTGTAACAGAGGATAAAGGTTTAAAACAACAGTTTACATTCGATTAAAATTACATTCCTGCCTTCTAATATCGTTATTATAAGTTACGTGATAGATTTTCAAAACTTCAAGAAATATCAATCGATTATTTATATTATATTAAGCATGTACTTTAAATAAAGATATTGCAATTTAATGTCTGTATATGTACACTGTGACATGTAAAGTACTACAGTATACATACATATATAAATAGTATAGATGATTTTTCGTGAAAGAATGAAGGGAACATAAAAAATACAAGGAACTCCCATAAATACAGCTATAATGAACAGACATACTGTCATTTCAAATTCTTAAATTCTGTTTCATATACCAGAAGACTACATCAATAGAATAAATAAATTATCCACGAAATTTGTTGCTCATATGCACAAAATTGAGGCTCATATTCCAAGTATTTATCAAATATTCTCAAGTTAAAGCACAACTTATACACACTAACCCATCTGATCAATCTTCTCCATTTCCTCAATGATCTGGGCCGGATCTTTCCCTTTCAAAACAGCCGCTCTAACTAACTGTCTCTGTTTTTTATTCTTTTTCAATTCCTTCTTACGCGCCTCTTTTCCTGCGAGATGAAATAAACATCTCTTTGACTATTGAAAATCAAATTCTTAGACAGATACTGGGTTATGTCATCCGTATACAATACTCACGTGCTTGATCGGTAGGATTCATATACTTTCCACTTTTCGTGGTATTGATTGAACGTCGTCCCATCTTCACGTTATTTCTTTCTGATCAGATCAACGAAAATCAGATTAACGAAAACAATATACTTTCACCAATTGCATGGAAACTCTATCGGAGCCAACACTTCAGAACGTTATTTACGTTAACGCCGGACAATTCCTAAATTTCCTGGGTCTGGTTAGGCTGAAACCATGCGCCACCTATGCTGAGCTTGGTTCAATAAATGGTCTGTTCTTTACAGCTGCACTAGTGTAATAAGTTGAAGTGAGAAAACATATACTTTTCTCACTTCAACTTATCGCGCACACAGCTCCTTAGTTTCTACGTCGTCTGACCTGCTATTGAATTATACTACTTGAAAATAAAAGTTTCACTAACTACCATTGAGACACGCTACTATCTCGATTATTCATTAAACGATAGCCGCTTGTAAGTTTAAAAAAATAAAAAATGTTGGATATTTTTAATTTATCAAACGCAAAATAGTTGTGGAAAAATTAAAAAGTTATAATTTTAAAATCTTATGTAAGATAGCGCAAATTTATTGACAATATGCGACAACTTGTGACAACAGGCGGTGTACAATGTTAATTTCGCACTTTCACTGTCCACTCCTTATAATTGTATAATATTCCTGGAATATTATATGAATATTATTGAATATTAAAATATTCTTATAATATTCTAAGAATTTTATGTAGTATTTTTTTAATATCATAGGAAAGTTCTATTGATACTCTATGTCCACTTCACATAATATTCTTGGCATATTATAAAAATGTTCTTAAAATATTTAAAAAAGAGTTGAATATTTAAAAAATATATAATATTACATTAACATTAAATAATATTATTTTTCAAATATTATTAGGAGCGAGCGTATAACTATCTATTAATATTCCAGAAATATTACTTAATATTAAATAATATTACGTGCTTATATATCTATTAATATCCTGAACACACAGCGTTCTGATGCGATGAATAGGAAAACGCTCTTTTCTCTCGTTCAGAACAACGTAACTGGTTTCTGGTCTCCTGGATCGATGGAAGGTGTCAGAAATGCCACGACTAGCTTCTGAATTTATCCGATCTTTTCGTTCCTGAAGAAAATGCGTGGACGGTCACTCTTTTCCATATCTGTAAAAAGAGGAAAAATAACAGGACCACGTGGTAGCGCAGCGGCGTAAGCCTCTTAAATGCCACTGGGAAGGAATGTACGTTGATTGAATATCAATAAGTCTGTCAGATAAATTATTTAGTAATTAAGTATGTAAATCTCCTATTATCCAAGTATGTTTGAAATTAAGAGAACTACATGGCTCTCGTTGTAACATTTCTCAACTGTAAGGACTGTGTTGCGCTATAAATTTAAAAGAATATATTGCGCCGGATAATTATTAACGCAATAAGTTTATAAAATAACGGATAATATCAATGAGAGGATGTAATAATGATAAAAATTCATTCAAGCTTACATAACTAAACTAAATGTAGGACTTCGGAAATAATCTCTGACAACGATTTTAAAATTAACTTACAGGGTGCTTAAATGTCTTCAAGAATTAATCACGTCGTCGTCAGGCGTCGTTGATCCAACATCAATCATAGGGTGTACATCGCTTCTGCGTTTAACGTTCAACCAGAATCCGCCTTCCAGCATTATCGCCAAACTCTTGCTCAATTTTAACGTGGTCTTCGCGCAAGGTCTTAACTCGCATCGCGCTAATAGATGAAACAGCAAGACTTTAATCTCCAACAGAGCGAATCTATTAGCTATGCAAATACGCGGCCCTAGTCCGAATGGTATGTAACACGAAGAATTGTGGTAAACGTTGTTGTCCAAGAATCTCTCCGGGCGAAATTTTTCCGGGTCATCGTAGTACTTCCCGTCACGATGAATCGCGTAAATCGGCATCCAGACAAGCATACCTTTCTTCAAAGTAAACGGTTTCTCGTTCGGCAACGTGGGAGGCAATTCGTAATCTCTCTCGCACTCTCTCTCTATGAAAGGTGCTGTATACATCCTGAGAGTTTCGCTCAATACCGCATCCAAATACTTCAGCCGATTAATGGCCTCATAAGTGACTTTCCCGTTCGATTCCTCCAGAACCTCGTCGATCTCTCGCCACAATTTCGCCTGAACGTCCGGATTAATCGCGATCTCATGAGCCGCGAAGGACATCACGGTTGCGCTGCTATCGAAACCGGCGAAGAAAAAGATGAATGCCTGGGCGGTCATGTCTTCGATACTCAATTCTCTCTCGGCCCCGCGTTTGCCTCTCATGTCCATCATAAGTTGTATCATATCCGGACGGGTGATGTTCTCGGCGTCGCGCGACACAATTGTGGTTTCTACGATGTTCTTAAAGAAATTCACTATTTTCTCGCTTATCATCTTCAAGCCGAGGAAATGAGCTAGTTTCGGGAACATTTTGAAAGTGAGAAACTTTATCCCCCGAACCCCTTGGAAGTTGGTTATTTCTTTGCCGTAGATGAAAAATCTGTTCGTTGGATTTCTCATAGTGTCTACCTTAATTCCGAAGGCGCACGTTGCGATGACATCAGTCGTGAATTTAGTGAAGGCATCTTTCATATCGATCTCACTTTTATCCGCCGATGTTTCCGATAGAAACTCGGTGAAGTCTACAGCGCACTCCGACATTAATACAAACATGGCCTTCAACTTGCTGGTCGTGAAGGCTGGGCTTAATAAAGTTCTTACGTCGTGCCACTTTTGATCCCTGAGAGAGAATAAATTCTTTGCCGATAAGGGATCGTTGATCTCCACGAAACCACGACGATTTGGAAATGAGTCGAAATTCTTAATGAGTATCTCTTTGATGAGCTCCGGATCACGAAGCATGATGATAGGTTGCGTCATACCGTAAAATCCCAAGTACTTAGCGTCCGGATTGTAATTGTACACATCCTGCAGAATTTCAGTGAATGACGTTTGGCGAAACAATACCGGCGCCATGCAGCCTAATATCGGAATAGACGGCGCATGAATTAGACCGTGTCTTTTAAAGAAATTAAAATGTTTGAAGAGATAATGGATGCTGAGAGCTCCTATCGCGACGGATAACAGTATCGTCCAGTATTCCATGATAAATATTGTCTCAAATTTTTGCCAGAATTAAGTCACAAACAAACGATTGTAAAAATTCAATTACGCAACTACGACGCTGCAGTGCTGCGATGCTCGCGAATTGCTACGCACGACTGGCGGTTATGACTCACTACTGCATGTTAGTATAGTTATCCACAAGAGTTTCATAAAGATCATCTCCATGATGACATTATGGAAGATAGATGACCAATTGAAATCGAACATCGCGCAATGATCTAATGTGTACATAATCACTCTCCAGTTTTTTAACTACTGGTAAACATTCGACATAAGAAGAGGAAAAGAGTCGATAATTTCAGATCGTCGGTAAGGATGAAGTGTTTTCATATCTGTTAATGATGCAAAATAACATATTGTTGATATAACGCAATATAATAATTTGTTGTGAGAGATACCATGGTGGAAATATTTTACTGAAAATATAGCGAAATTTTACTGAAATGTTTTCGAAATTCAATCATCAATTGACCCTCTTTAATTATTATTTCATCAAAATGTCAATAAAAATTCAGTTTTTAGTTACATTCGGCCAATTTCACGATATCTAATATTTCAAAAAATTTGTTATTACTTTTCAACAATATAATTTAACTGTCCTTATATTTCAAAGTATTACATTAAATTTCATAAGGAAAATTATGATTCATTTTGAAATATATTCAGTAATTTTTCAATAACTTTCATCTCAATTTTCATTGATTTCATAGTACTTTTAGCAAAATATTTCCATTATGAGATAAAAGATACGTGAAATAAAACCCTTTTCATAACAAATGTATCACAAGTCACGCCTATACAATTAAACAAATAATAATGAAATGGCAAACAACACAATATTTCGTCGTCAACATGTCACTTTTCACGCATATAAGTATCATTACAATATAAAATAGGCTAGATTTAATTTAATTCACATTCACAGCGCAATTAAGGTGTCTTTACGAATTAAACATGCAGTTGTTGCGAATCGCAGGATGCATATCGCTCCTACGTTGAACATTCAACCAGAATCCACCTTCCGGCGTCAGAAACACACCTTTCTTGCTGAATTTCATCGGCAACGTGGTTTTCGCGCAAGGTTTCAACTCGCACCGAGCTAATAGATGAAACAGCAAGACTTTGATCTCCAGCAATGCAAACCTGTTGGCTATGCACATCCGCGGCCCCAATCCAAATGGTATGTAACACGGTGAGTTGTGATATGCATTCTTGTCCGAGAATCTTTCCGGGCGGAACTTTTCCGGTTTATCGTAGTACTTTTCATCACGTTGAATTGCATAGACCGGGGCCCAGATAATCTGACCTTTCTTTATAATGACGGACTTTTCACTTGGCAATACGGGCGGAAATTCATATGGTCTCTCGCATTGCCTTTCAACATAGAGGGCCGGTGGATACAATCTGAGAACTTCGCTCATTACCATGTCCAAATATTTAAGGTGATTAATAGTTTCATACGTCACTTTTCCGTTTGTGCTTACCAGAACTTCGTCGATCTCCTGTCGCAACTTTGCCTGAACGTCTGGGTTAGCTGCGAGCTCATGAGCGGCGAAGGACATCGCTGTTGAGCTGGTGTCGAAGCCACCGAGGAAGAAAATGAATGCTTGCGCGGTCATATCGTCGATGTTCAGTTCTCTCTCGTTCACGCGTTTACCCCTGATATCCATCATCAACTGTATCATGTCCGGGCGAATAATGTTCTCGGCGTCCCGAGTGGCGATTGTGGTCTTCACGATGTCTTTGAAGAAAATGGTGGCATTGTGGCTTAGGAATTTGAAACCGAATAACTTCATAAGTTTCGGAAATGTCCTCAAGAAAAGAATCTTGAGGGCACGAGTCTCGAAGAAGCCAGTCGCTTCTTTGCCATGAAGATAGAACTGGTTTGTGGGATTTTTCATAGAATCGACCTTAATTCCAAAGGCACACGTGGCAATGACATCGTTCGTGTACTTGCTGAATACATTCTTCATATCCATATCGCCCTTATCCGCTGATATTTCCGATAGAGACTTGGTGAAGTCTATCGCACAATCCGACATCAAAGTGAACATGATTTTTATTTTGCTTGACGTAAAAGCTGGACTTAGTAATGTTCTCACATCTCTCCATTTTTGGCCCCGAAGGGAGAATAAATTATTTGAGAATAAAGGGTCGTTGAACTCGGCTAAACCACGCCGATTGAGAAACGACTCGTAATTCTTGACGAAGACCTCCTTGATAAGCTCCGGGTCGCGCAATAGAACGATGGGTTGTGTTGTGACGTAAAATCCAAAGTATTTCGCGTCTGGTTTAGACGAGTACAGCTTTTGTAGGTAATCACCGAATGATGTCCGGCGAAACACAACTGACGCCACGTCACCAAGTATCATTACAGGTGGGACATGGAGAATACCATGTCTTTTGAAGTAATTGTATCTTCTAAAAAGATGATGGATGCAGAGAATAACTATCACGATGAATAACGGTATCTGCCAGTATTCCATGGCGAATGTTGTTTTAAATCCTTATTGGAAATGATTCGCGAAGGAACGAGAGATAGGCGCACTTTCGTTCACATTTATGCGATATGGCGAGCAAGGCTCGTTCTCGCGCAACTGCGGTATCTGTTATCGCAACTGCGGTAACAGTATATATTCCGATCTTCGTAATCTGACGTAAGTGATTTGGAGAACATTGCATAAGATAAGCAGACCAGCTTCTCACAATTCTGCGGTAAATTTGTTACAGTGGATTCATCCTACGTTAGGCGGGAATAATTTTTTGATAAATTTGACTACACTTACTGATTCTTTATTCTCAAATAATTTCGTAATTTATAAACGTAAGTGATTAATTACAGTTCAACATTGTGCAGTGATCTGATATGTATAAGATGACTATTCGGTTTTCCAATAGCCGGTAAACACTCGACTAAGGAGGAGAGTGATGGTCGATAACTTCAGGTCATCGATAATGATGAGGTATTTTTATATCTGTTAATGATGCAAGACGACATATAATTGACGGAATACAAGATAATTATATTTTGCAATAGATATACAGGATGTTCCAGTTCTCACGACTTTTAATTTTACCGAGAGATTCCCTGATGAATTTAGAGTTAATTTTTTCTTAACAAAAATATCGGGAAATGTCATTATTTATGACAAGTTTTCAGTCTTCAACATATCTTTTTAGCCAAATTACAAATAAAAATTCTGTTAAATCAGTCTTGAAATATATCAGAGGAAATAATTGTATTGTCCACTTTGATCGCTCGAAACGAGCTTCACGAAAAGCTCCACTTTTTCAATCGCCTATCTTTCGAAAACTATTACCGCGACATTTCCTTGAGGAAAAGTTAACTGCAAATTGAAATTTAGCCGTTACAACGAAAAGTAGGTAGATTAGTTTAAAAATAAGATATGTACGTCGTAAACTTAGCTTATCATAATATTATTATTATTGCGACTAATTTTTAAAATAGTCTATATTAGAATAATCAATGATACACGTCGCTCTGCTACATGAAAATTTTATGGAACACTTCTCAGTCAGAATACAATAATGATCAAATATATTTTTTTCGTATTCGTGAAACGAAACACATATCGGAAGCGAAATCTCGTTACAATATAAAATAAGCACCGCTTGTTACAATATAATGAGCAGCGCACTTAAATTGTTTTTATGATTCAAAGTTTCGTTGTTACGAAATTGTCGACTCGATAGTAGGATGCATATCGCTTCTACGCTGAACATTCAGCCAAAAACCACCTTCCGGCATCAATGCTAAACCTTTCTTGCTTAATCTCATCGGCAACATGGTTTTCGCGCAAGGTTTCAGCTCACATCGCGCTAACAGATGAAACAGCAAGACTTTGATCTCCAGCAATGCAAACCTGTTGGCTATGCACATCCGCGGTCCTATTCCAAATGGCGTGTAACACGGCGAGTTGTGATACGTGTTCTTGTCCGAGAATCTTTCCGGGCGGAACTTTTCCGGCTCATCGTAGTACTTATCATCACGTTGAATCGCGTAGATAGGGACCCAGATCAACTGACCTTTCTTTATGGTGACAGACTTTTCACCCGGCAATGCGGGCGGAAATTCATAAAAACTCTCGCATTCTCTTTCAACAAAGACCACCGGCGGGTACAATCGGAGGGTTTCACTTATTACCATGTCCATGTATTTGAGGTGATTAATAGTTTCGTAAGTCACCTTTTCCTTCGAATCCTCCAGAGCTTCGTCGATCTCTTGCCGCAACTTCGCTTGGACGTCTGGATTAGCTGCGAGTTCATGGGCTATGAAGGACATCGCAGTCGAACTGGTTTCGAAGCCACCGAGGAAGAAAATGAATGCCTGCGCGCTCATGTCGTCTATGCTAAGTTCCTTGTCGCCTTCACGTTTGCCCCTCATGTCCATCATCAACTGGATCATATCCGGACGAGTAATGTTCTTGGCGTCGCGGGTGGCGATGGTGGTCTTTACGATGTCTTTGAAGAAGTTGGTCGCACCGTCGCTTAAGAACTTTAGGCGGAGAAACTGCGCGAGCGTTGGGAATGCTCTGACAAAAAGAAACTTAAATGCGCGATCCCCGATGAAGCTGGTCGTTTCTTTACCATAAACATAGAACTGGTTAGTGGGATCTTTCATAGAATCGACCTTAATTCCGAAGGCACACGTGGCAATGACGTCGTTCGTGTACTTGCTGAATACGTCTTTCATATCCGTGTCGTTTTTATCTGCCGATACTTTCAATAGAGACTCGCTGAAGTCCACGGCACACTCGAACATCAAAGTATACATCATTTTCATCTTGCTGGAAGTAAAAGACGGACTTAACAAGTTCCTCACGTCTCGCCATTTTTGGTCCCGAAGGGAGAATAAATTTTTGCTAAACAATATGTCGTTGAACTCGGCTAAGCCACGCCGATTGGGAAACAAGTCGAAGTTCTTGACGAAGACCTCCTTGACGAGCTCCGGGTCGCGCAACATGATGACAGGTCGTGACGTGGGGTAGAAACCATAATACTTCGCGTCCGGTTTGAACCAGTATAGTTTTTGCAGATAATCAGCGAATGATGTTCGGCGAAGCGCAATTGACATCATGTCGCCAAATATCAGGACAGGTGGAACATGGAGGATGCCATGCCTTTTGAAATAATTGAATCTTCTGAAGAAATAATGGATACCAAGGACACCTATCAAGATAGATAGCAGTATCTGCCAATATTCCATGACGAATGTTGTTTCAGATTTTTGTCGCACAATAATTCGCGAATGAGATCGGTGTGTCTTGGCTCACGTACTTGCGATATAGCGAACGAGACTCTTTACGTGCTACTGCGCGTATCCACTCCTACGTGCTGATATATCCGCGGATTTTCTGACGCAAGTGACTTGCAGAACAACGCTGAGTAAGATAATAAACGGACCGGCTAATCGGCTGGTCAGCATTCTGAGGTAATCTGTTACAGTAGGTCCATTCAACGTTAGGAAAGAATATGAAAAGAATATTGTAGTAATATTTGCTACAGAATTTTACATATATCGACGTTTTGCTTTGATTTATTATACTGCCATTTCACACGTGTTATTTACATTTCAGGAACTGAAGTCTAATATGAAGAAATTTATTTTGTTAGGATGAGAAACCCTACTAACGGTATCTATCTTTGTGCTATCAAAAAACACGATAAAGAGTTGAAAAAAAAGTTATAATTTTTTTTTTCGATAACGGTCGTTTATTAAACGATTTATAGCTATTTATGGACAATCAGCGAGCCACTTTCATCCACTGGATTATGCAATATGTTTACCTGTTTGCATTTTTAATTATTTGCGATGAAGCTTATGTTTCTTGTTATTAGAATTATTAAATATTTGTTTTTTTAGCCGCACTGCTGAACTAGTGCGATAAATTAGAGCGAGGCAAAATATACACGTCTCACTCTAACTTATTGCACCAGTTCAATAGCTAAAAAAAATAGATCGATAGATTTCCTGATCGTAATAGATTATTCGACCAAAGATTAGTTATCTTTAGTCGAGGCGTGAACCACTTGAAAGATTGAAATCTTATTGCTTTTAGATTTTTTACAATGTCGTTAGATGGCGCCAGATAAGCTAATTAGTCGCGTTGAGCAGATTGAATGGTTATCCTAAAGTCTCCGTTATGAGCCGCCACTGACTTTAATAAAAAAAAACGAGCGTGTAATATTACTCAACGATACATCAGGCTTTTTTATCTTCAAGTTTTACGATTGTACAACAAATAAACCTTTTATGTAACAGTACAACAAAATCAGCCAAACGTCCTTATTACTTAAAAATGTTATGACTAAACAGAAAGTTAGTAGAAGGCTGTTATTTTCGAACAATACAATTCAACGGCAGATCAGATGCAATTTTTAAATTAATATAAACTAATGTAAACGCCATTTATGTAATATTTCGTTGTAATTTAATTTAACTCTATGCATAGCTAATTTTATTTTCAAAAATATGTTTTTGGAGACTAAAGACTTCAAGCTAAAATGTTTTATAAACTATCACATTATCGTGATTTTTGTAGAAATTACAGCTTATTAAATTTTACGTATCTTCCGTAACCGATGAAAATTATTATTTAGTTTTTACACGAAATATATTAGCACCTATTATTTTCTCCCGCTCTTTCTCACTAAATACACACATTTATTTATTTATTATAACAAAATATAATTGTTCGAACAGTTCGATCGCGCGATACATCCCAATCTTTCGCCTTACCCGCAGCGTTAACGTATATCCGCAAGCAAGATAATAAAAAGTCAATCCTGAACTCGCGGCGGCGGCGACGGATTAAGCACAATAACAAATCGCGATATCACGTGACTTCCCTTCTCACTGTATTATTAATACCGTGCTTAAGGAGGAAAGGCGAGATGGGGGGCGGTGAAGGGAGGGATGCGCGGACGCTTCATTGTCTCGAAGCGCGGGAACTCCGGCGCGGCTCGTTAAGCAAAGGCAGCCCCTCTCACGGTGCAAAGTTTTTACGGCTGTTTCACGGGGATTCTTATCTATCACCCGAGGTATGTCCGGGCCCCCTCGATTATCTCGCGTCGTAGTTGTTGCTACAACTGCGACTTTTGATGCGGCTCCGCGAGAGACCGTAAGTCACTTATTCGCATCCCACATTTAACATTAAACATGGCCGTTTAATCTGGGCGTTCGATTGTCCGTTGCGAAGAAACGCATTCGTAATATTCGTTCGTGGCGAATGGGATCATGGGATCTTTCGGAGTGAGTGCATTTCAATCTTATTAGCGCGATATATATCGACACTTGTATGTAAAGCGTCAGCGCGTGAAACAATCGCCCACGTACGAACGGAGGAATGTCGGGATTGATTAGGGCGTCCCGGATTATTCGAGGGGTTAGGTTTTGCATCTTAAGACGGAACGCTGAATCACAATGTGATACTTCGGACGTTCTTATCAAATGCGTTTAAGCCGATCGATAGTCATTCTTACAGGGGGAGGGGGGAGGGGGACCCAGCGCATAACACATTCGCGCGCGCGAAAATTTGCGTACGCGTAGGTGTTTCTCGCGTACGGCTCGATATATTCATCAAAAAATACACGCAAATGATTTACACTAACAGCGCGCCGCGTCCAGTTCGCGCCGCTGCGCGTCGATGTAAACAAATGAACGTTGTTATTTATCTATTGCGAGTTACCAACTTTTTTTTTCACTCATTTATTCGAAATTGAATAAGGAATCGAAATATGTAAACATTATTGTCGTAACTGATTGAGAAGTACATGTAATTTCTAATCGTTTATAACTTTTATGAATTTGTTTAAACAAATTACATGCTACATAGAATAATGTTTTGTTTTAATAAGATAATAAAATAATATTAGAATCTTCGACAAGTTTTTCTCGGCAAAGTGGGGGCTTTGCGTGTTTATGAGATCGATAAAGGGTGGGTGGTAGAGCAGGTAATAAACGTATTGAAGGTACACCATATAAAAACGATGCCAGCCAAAAAATACAGATTTTATTCATCCACTTATAACGTGTACAGAATAAGGTTTGGTTAAATCCATTTTAACTGTAAGATATATGCGCATATACATATGTATATATACATACATACATATATATATACATATGCATATATCTTTATTTATATATGTATTTATATTTGTATAATTTAATGTAATGATCAAATTCTCTGCTCGCTACGATTCTAAAGTACATCATCTACACATGCGGATTTTGTAGCATCCGTATTTTTTTTTTCTCGCGTTCTTTCGTGTTTTTCATAGACGTCCTCGTGCTTCTGTCGCTCAAAACGAAGATGAAAGATACAGTTTTTTTTTTTATAATGCATTTATATCGTCGTAACATCCACGATGTGATCCGGAATGTCAACAGTAAGATTTATTCTCAGTTTAACATGTCGATTGAGAGCGTTGAGGTGTACGGTATCTCTGAGGCCTATGAAGAGAGAGAGAAAGAGAGAGAGAGAGAGAGAGAGAACAAAAATCTCTTCGAAGAAGATAAGATAACGGTACAAAAAAATTGGCGATTTTTAATCAGCAATCAAGTCAAAACGCAAGACAGGAAGAAACTTCTCACTCCCGTTTTCGTCAGCATTCCGTGATAAAAAAGTTCGGTAAAAAAGGTAACAAGTCATTACGTTACATCGTTCGATGGATTGAATGAGGTTACAGATTTGGGAACATTCAATTGCAATGCGCGCGGTATCAAACAGAATGTGAACGGAGGAAGTTAAATAAATGTTAAAAAGACGGCTGGAAGTTACGAGGACAACGATGATGACACAAAACTCTTGTTCCCGTGATACTCTTTCGCAGGCGTCCTGCACCTTATATATCGATTTCACGGTATTTACGATATTATCACGTGTGTCATTAACGCTGACGCGTGTCCGACTGTGTGACTTCAAATTTACCGCTCCGTCAAAAGAGTAATTTTCAATAATGCTATTGAGTAATACATAATAAACTTTCTCCCATGTCTCTTTGCTTCCCCGATCATAAAATTCCGTTCGTCGACTTGAGAACTCACCGGAAAGGTGTCAACGCGGGCATGACTCTTTCGTAAAATGATGCCGCTCGACGTGATATATAATTACATATAGCTACATGACGTCGTTAATTACGATAGCCGTTAATTACGACTAGACAATGATTCGGCAAACGTGACTACAATAAAAAGTATCTAAAGTCTATTTCCCCTCGGACGATTCAATACCAGTGAGTCTTGACTAAAAACGCTGAAATAATAGATGAGTGCCAGCAATCATCGGCACGAATGATGGCGGTCAGCAATACAATCGGATCTCAAAAATTGAGGCGTCCCCTACGGTTGATCAACGAAATCGGCAGATCGAGAAAGGAGCGGTCGCGTAAACATCTTTCGATCAAGATCCATTTTCCGTTGTTCTCGCCTTGTATCGGCGATGATCGGCGTGAAATCGTCAATATCATTTAGATCGCGCTCAATCGCTCCTCGTGGGCCTTCTTCACGATCGCTAATTTCGAATGAGGATCCGCCGCTGACAGTCCCGTGTACGGTGGTTCTTTGGTACCGTGCAGCATTAATGTCCATTCCTTCAGCCATCCGTGTTGAGGCGTCTGAGTGTTGAAACTTACCTGAAAGATCCGAAAATATGTAAGTCGATCTGGTACGTATGTGGTATCGGCGGAAGAAAGGTTGCGACACTCTGACCTCAATGAGCTTTCGAGCAAACCCGATATCCGATAGAAAAGTTTACCTTCTGAGAATCACGAACAAACAAATTCTCTTTTACTGGGCACGAACGTGTTTTGCGAAACTTATTAAAAGAAATAGTGTTACAACCCTCCTTTCGCCCTACTAGGCGAAATGTCAAAGTTCACCTCTAGCAGCCAGGTTCCCTGAGGATATTCGCCCCATGTGTGCGTCGTCATAAACGGCCATTTCGTAAACCCATCTCTGTGATCGTCATCGTTTACTCTGCGACTCAGAATCATAGATCTGAAAGTCGTGAAAAATCGTATTTGTACTCATTAGTCTATTCGAATTAACCCTTTTATTGTGGGAACTATGTATACATGAAAGTTCTCAAAAATTAGTCTTTCATTAAGAAAACAAGAATGTAAGGTAAATAGGATATATAAAATAGAATGCGCGTTGCCTCCTCCCCTTTTAGGAAGCGAAAATTGACAGTTAAATTAAAAATTAAAAATAAAAATTCGAGATAAACCATTAAGAGGAGAGAAGGGAAAGCTTTATCGTGAGATGAAGACAAAGAGTGAGAAGTCGTTTATCATACCTCGTGCCCATCGGAGATGTAAGGAATAACTCGAGATCGCCGCGTCGAGTCGCGTTTACGGATATGACGGCTTGCACGTGCTCCAAATAGTTGACAGCGTATTCTGTGCCGGCACACGCGTCAGTCTTGATTTTCACGAGGATGGATCGATCGCTCGTGACTTCCCTGGAATGCAAAACCGACCTGAGAAAATGGATTGCCGGCGTGCACGAACGTAGAGCACGAACGTGTTTTCCCAAGCCGGGATAACTTGCGTCACGCATTAAGATGGTATTGTAAAGTGCGTCACTGCGAAATATATTTTATCGGCACATCAGTCCGAAGTAAATCTCAAGTGTCTACTCACTGTGTGTCGAGCATAGAGCCGGCCTCGCAGTGGTATCTCGGTGGTACCGTCTTCCACTTTTTCGCCAACGCTACCATAGCGCCCGCGTCCAAGACGCCATATCCGAAGAGATGGTTGAACTCGAGTCCAACGCCATTCATAGTCCAATGAAATCTATCCTTGGCGTCGAACAGGGAATTTCTCTTCGAAGTTAGGACGGTCAAGTGTTGAATGTCTCTCCACGTCAGCTGTGGGCTAAAATGCGAAATCGAACATGGGCTTATTGAAAAAGCGGAATCTAATCCTTCTCCGGAGCAAGTCGGGCTAGAGTGTCAGTCTGAGTCAACGCTAACATAGCGGTAATATAATATGTCAATACTTATGTTTAAGAGTTCACAGAGGGAGAAAGAAATAAACAGAGAAAAGGGAGGGGGAGGGTGATAAATTTGTCGAACTGTTGTACACTCACTTAGCTTCGAGAGCAAGCGCAAATACTCCGGCGGCTTCCGGCGCCGCAGCGGACGTCCCGCTGTGAGTTGTCGTACATTTCCCGTACAGATCCGTGGTAGCCTACAAAACCGTGGACGCGAATCGTACTTTAATTATACTTACATACCTAAGGTAGCTGTAGCATATAATGAGTTTTTTTTTTAAGAATTCGTTGAAACTAGCACTATATATAGATATTTAAATATAACTCAATTAATGGCGCAATTAAAAAACGACCACTCGGAAGCTGAAATATTCGCAACTACAGACGATAGTCTTTACGTATACGTATTCCTTGAGGTTAACGTCTTCTTTTTAACTTCTATTTTTAATTTCTTCTAAACCACAATTAGGACTTCAATAAAAAACTACTGTAATTTTAAGGACGAATATAGAGATATTATGCAAAAATTTCAGATTATTGACTATTTTGTTTTGAAAATATAGCCATAGGAAATTTACAATTTATAGTAATATATATATATATATACATATATTTATATATTTATACATCATTTTTTATTATGTATACATCTCTATTAATTCAACTGACGTATAAATAAAGCATTGATAAGTACAAATAAAAAATTAATAATATCTCCGTCTTTGTAATGTTGCGTGTATATTTTTTTAAATTTCTCGCCCCCATTAATTTCTTTGTATTTTTTTCTTGATACATTTTTTTATTTCGTATTCCGTAAAAAGAATCAGCTTCCTCGAAATCGAATCCTTTCCAGTTCAAAAGAACCACTCACCACCCCCGTATTAGGATCCTTGGCACCGTTGCTGAAGGTGGAAGCTAAGGTGCTGGAGCAACTCTCGTCGTAGTGAGCGTTCTGTCCGTCGTTAATAGCGCTATTAATACTAATGGTCCACATGCTCGCAGCGTACCCGTCGCAGTTGCAATCGTCCTCCTCGCCGCCATCTCCGGAAGCCCAGACGTAAATGTTACCTAAGCCCTTTCTACCCTGGTGAGCAAACAAGCGACGCGGATGATCAATCCCATCGGTTATTAGCTGCGATACTCTTTCTTTCCATTTTCTACAAGAGAGCTTCGCGACCATTTTTGGAAAAAAAGTCTCCCGACCTTTTTTAACGTAAAACCCCATTTCACCCAGAAGCAAACGGCATCCTTTGTGCATAAATGAGCAATTTCGCCGTAAATGTCATTAGTTCGCTAATAGCTGCATTAATTCCGCTAATTCCGTTTGACCGCACACACGTTGATACGCACGACTGTGTAATAGGTATACCTCATTAACGCCGCGAACAATGGCCCTCATGGTTGCATTTCGCGGTCCATCTACCGTCTTCCCGTCGTCCGTTGGCCCCCAGGAGGCGCTGTAAATATCTATGAGGTCAGGCTCGTGACCCATGCTGTTGGCCTCGATCAGGTCGGTCATGTAAGGTTGATCCAGCATCCGGATCCCGGCGATCTTCGAGTCGTACGCCACCCCGACACCGCACACCCCGTTGTCGCGTGCGGCTGCGACCTCGCCGGCGCATCTTGTGCCGTGGCTTCGATGAGAGCACGAAGGATTTAGTTTGAACTGTCGCGTTTCTCGTCTAGTCTGATCTCTACTTTGATTTCTTTGATTTGCGTTTTATCACGTGCGACCGAGGAAAGAGAAGCGATTTAATGATTGAGAAGAAACGTTCGGACAGCGAGTCGTCATATATGCAAGATAGAAAAAACATTTTTACGCTCTTATTTCATTCAGTTGCTCGAAGTTTTTAAAGAAACACGTTTTTACCTGTTGAACCAATCGTCGGTGTATCTGGGATAGGGATAGGGATCGTTACTGCTGAAGTCGTAGGAAGCTTTAGCATTCTGAAACGAGAGGACATCGATGTGAGTGCTTTATTATTGCTAATCCGTATTCGAGAAGTGTATTTGCAGTTCGCCCCACTAACATCGACGCGAAATCATAATCCCGTTAATACTGAATCCGAGTCCCATCGACAACGGATCGGGGAGCAGAACCAATCCGTCGTGAGGACGGATTAACAAAACCTTCCTCCCTTCCCGACGGGGGCTACAACAAGAGCAACGCACAACGTTCTACCGAGGGGATGCTGGATTTTGCAAAATGGCGGGTACGCCGACGCAAAACTAACGCATATCGACGATACGCCTCGCGTTAGTGTGAAGCGATCACGGTACAATGTAACCGTGGTCCATCGCAGAAGAAACACTGGATGTACAAACAAGTGTTTTCCCGTTCTCGAAGTGAGCAATTATTTGTCAAGCCCGTAGTCTCAGCTAAAGCCGTGTGGCACTATCCTCCTATTTAGAAATTCCTCACGTGTCTGCGCGCGAAATACGCCGGGAATGGCATCCGTGCGAGAGTACGAACGGAAATATTTCGGTTCCCCAGCCACGACACGCACATAATACGCTCTATTAATATAAAGTTACGCTCGCGTAGATTTGTCGCGTGGCGGAAATGGCACCACCTGCGGTGCACCCCTTAGCTTACGGACGTCGCACGCGCGTTCGCTCTAAAAGCACGTTTTGCAACGGTAATGTAACGGTGTGACATGAGTATGCTTACATAGTTGTACTTGAGATCAGGATGCATGTAGTCGACACCTGCAACGAAACATAATATGGTAATACGGCGATTAAAACGCGTATTGCAGAACGGACCCTACTCGGCGCGAACTTTCAAAAGACGCATCCTACATTTTTGTTAAATATTTTATAAGACATCTTTAATCCCCTGACTGGCAAACCGAATTTCGCAAAAAGTGCTTAAGCTGGCAAGAAATAAATTTTCAAAATTTTCATAAGCAATGTCATTAGAATTTTGTATCTAGAGGTTTTCGAGGTCACTATTTACGAGTATGACGTTAAAATCTTTCAAATTCAAAATGGTGGAAGTAATATAACTAAAATCATAATTTCATTAAGATGAAACATCTGTAAATTCTGTATATCTAACGTGTTTTTGAGTTGTTAGTTGCGAATTAACAATAAAAATTGCTAATTTAAAAAATAGCTGATTTAATATGGTGTTCAAACGTTATTTTTTTCAATTTTAGGTCGACCATACTACATCTGCCATCTCGAATTTTAAATTTTGTTGAAATTCATTGAATAGAGCGACCTCAGAAATCTTTGAATGTCTAATTTAAAAAGTATTGAACTACCAGAAATATCAAAACGCAATATTGCGTTTCCGTCAATCAAGGATCTGTCAGATAACGTTTTCATCAAACTCTGATTAATCCAATCGACGATTTCGAAACCGCTATCTCTCTCGGACGAGTATTACCTGCACTCTGTTTTGCTGAAATAGATAGGGATTATTTCTCCCGTTGTTGTTGAGCGAGAAATTACACAGCTGACAATCGGTGTTGGCATGATTCTGCCGGTCCCCGGCATCGATTGGTTCAATGAAAGTTCGGCGAAAGCCACCCTTGGAAGTTTGCTGGAAAGCTAGCTGGGTACGTCAACGTTATCAAGAGGGAGGCATCTCTTGACGTAATAGGTCGCCACGTGCATCGTGCAACGTGCAATGGAAACATAAAGGTTCCATTTCTCAAGTGGAAAAAAAAACAACGAGCCGCGAAGGACAGCAGCAGTTGTGCTATGTCGTTAACGAAAAGTGGCTCGACGTTAAAAAGGCTCTCGTATGATTAAACGATGGCGACCATGATTATGATTCTATGAAAATATATGTCTCTCCCTTTCTCCCTCACACGCACACACACACACACACACACTCTCTCTCTCTCTCTCTCTCTCATGTTTCTCGGGTGAAACGAGAGAGCGTTGCGTAACTCGCCCCTCGGCGGATATCGATTCAAAGTCGTCTGTGCAAACTGCATTCGAGCACGTGTAATTCGAGACCGTTTTGACTTTGAAATAATCCCAGTCGAGGATCAGTTTTTATCGAAAAAACGATAGAGAGATATAGAGAGAGATTAAGAGAGATTAAGAGAGATTAAGAGGGAAAAATAAGAGGGAAACGATTTTCTACGTATATATATGTATGATATATATATATGTATGATATATATACTTATTATTATTATTATTATTATACATTACATACCGTCATCCATGATGGCTGTCGTAACGTTTTTCCCCGTGACACCCTGGGCCCAGGCTGCCTCAACGTTGAGATCCAGCTTCGGTTTGCCACCATTTTGCCCGATGTTCTTCAAGTACCACTGGTACTTAAAGAAGGGATCCGTCGGATCTTTGTTGCCGGGATTCTCCGGATTTTTCATTTCATACAAGGGCACAAGGTTGTCTACGCTGAGGGGTTTGTAGCCCCTCTTGACCCTCTTGAAGCCAGCCTGCTGTATGGCCGTGTCCACCTAATCGCGCGTTAATGTAGATCAAACGTTAAAATGTTCCTGTCCGTTAACCCTTGCGCGCCTCCTCCTTCTCCGATTAGCAATCGCCGAGGGAGCTCGAGAGAGGGTAATTATCGCAGGATTTCATAACTCCGCAAGAAGAAGAAGGATGCGTCAAACTTACCAATGGATCAACCTTTAATCTTCGCGTATGTGGCACGGATCGTTTGCTTCGCACGTGTGGCAAAGCTTTGTGTACGAAGTGATATTCCGTCTGGCTGTCCAGAACCTTTAATAGACGAAAGAATATTTCGTTTAAGACGTGATTAATTCCGTTTCTTCTTTTTTTTTTTTTAAGTTGCTGACAGGCCAGCAAATTAACCTTACGTTAGTCGCAATATTTTCCACTCGTGAATGGTTGCAATGCATCTCACAGATACTTTTCTCTTATTTTCCTCTGCTTCTTAAAACAATTTTTCTTTCATTAGCACTTAGTTAATAGACTAGGTATTAAAGTACAAAGTACAAGTATTGTAATAAAGTACTCGTAATTGATTAACAGTGCATCTATTGGATATTGCGAATAACGAAGAGTTAATTTAAACGTGTGAAGTTACATCACGCTAAAATGTTCCATGAAACTTTTTTTTCTTCCGGAGCGGTTCCACTTCACTTAATTTTGCGTTAAGGCTATTGGCAATTGTGTCAATCTGTATATTTTTTTTCAGTTCTTTTTTGTGTTGCGTCTGCTTTTAGCGGCGTACCATCGCGTAGAATCCGTTCGATATGAGGGAGATATATATATATATATATATATATGTATTTTTTTTGTCTTTTATGTCCGAAGTTGTTGCTAGAGAGAAGAACGAGAGAAACGGTTCAATTTCATCCATCTGTTTCACGACGCGTACGCGAGTGATTAACGCGAGTGGTCGCGACGTGACGGGCCACGAAGTTGAAGTGAAACGACCGATGCGATAAATTCATCAAACGACGGAAGAAGATTCCTCGGCCGGACATATCAACTGTCAACCGGATCGCGCGTTATCCGCGATAAAATCAGTCACTGCCAAGCATGGCAGAATTAATCGCATCGTGGTCGAAACGATCGATCGCCCCGATAATTCAGCCTCCATATCCCGCGGCGGTTAATCGTACGGGACAGCCAGGAAACAGCTTTAATCGGAAGAAACGACGTCACCGCTTCGATAAATACGGCTTACGGGATATCAATTTCCTGCCCGTCAGAGAAAGGTTGCATCAGAAACGTTGTTTAACACTGTACGGCCCGTTGTCGAAGAAGTCGCAATCCAGCGAAATGAGAAGAAAGAAAAAAAATCAATCGGAACCGAAAACGCAGATTCTCCTCTGTACGAAATTTCGTCGTCCGACAAGCTCGAGTTTGTCCAGCTGGAAAATGGTGATATAACAAAAGCAAAATGCTATCAATCATACGAACTTTCGCTCTCTCTCTCTCTTTCTCTCTCTCTTTCTCGTGTGAAAAACGCTTTTGAATCGTGCAAATCGCCAACGTAACAAGCACGGCTGCTATCAAGGGACAGAATGCGCGTGGGCCGATATTAACGGCCGTATTTTAACATCAATCCCTTCATCCTGGAAGTCTAATAATATCACCGTGTGGATACTTTTTACTGACGCACTCGTTACCGCTCGGCAAGGTGCGTGTTCACACGTCCACAGTAAAGCACATCAAACCACGGACGGATATGGCGCTGAACCAGACGCGTGGCGCGTCGCCAGCGCGCGTGCAGCATCACGCGTAGGTAGGACAAGCGCAGGTAATATTTAACCTTTTACCTGTGACACATAAGGAAGCCCTTTTTCGTTACGGTGCCATTGACAAACGAAGTAAAAGTATGCCGCGCAATCAAGCGACACACACCGTCCGGATGCGCATCGAAGACAACACGTATATTGTTTGATCAGCCCCCAGTCGCCCGCGCTGCCGTACTAATTAATAATTAATTAACAACGATTTTCCATTCCGTGCGACCGATCACTTGCTGTGCGCAGGCTATTTATCATTTTATCTATCGGGGAGAGTCGTATTTCCCGAATCCGAGCCTGGCTCGTTCTGTCTCTCAAATTTTCGCGTGTAACGCGACTACAATTTCACGATAACAAGCGAGGCTCATAGCGGGCGACCCACACAAGGGACGGGAAATTTGAGCAAGGGGGAAAACATTCTGCGCGTAATCAATCGCGGAATTAAGCGCGACGCCGAACGCCATACGCGAGAAAAATGACAATAATGATGTTGATCGGCCGCGGGCCGATCCTCACGCATTTGTCGCGTTATCATTCACCTGGGCTCTCTCGGCACGGTGCGTGCCTCTCTGTTCATTCATTGGCTAAACTTATTCACCCCAACAATAACGAGGCGTTATATGCATATTTTAATATGCATGTTGCGCTCTTTTGTATCCGAGGTACAACGAGCATGCGATCGGACATCGGGGGGAGGAAACGAAAATGCGAAACGAAAGGGAAAGATGAGGAGGGAACGTTTCGGTGAAACACGTTTTTTTCGGATATCGTCGTCGTGCGACAAAATAAGAAAAATTATCCAACGAGCAACGTTAATCTCGGCTAAATTTTCCAGCGGATTTTCCAGCGGATTTCCCCGACGGGCCGCGACAGAGAGAGAGAGAGAGAGAGAGAGGATCTCCGCGTCACACTCACCGGTCCGAGATTGACGAATCCGTTTCTGAGCGCTACGCGGTCGGCTACGTGCCTCTCCGCTGGCTGCCGCATCCTCACCAGGAACGTGTTGGTGAAGATCTCGGCGGTGGTCGTACCGGCGGCGAGGGAGAGGAGTGCGATCACCGCGAGCAACATCGTGACGAGGAGCGGCCGGCAACGTAGCGCGTCCGGACCGTACTTCGCATTCGCGGATTCGCGGACACTGGACACTCCGAGGTACTCGGCGACTACTCGAGGTACGCGATGGTACTATGATTTTCGCGGTGGAGGAGGCGGTAGCAGTGACGACGGCGGTGGCGGCGGTGGTGGTGACGGTGGCGATGACGGCTTCGGCGGCGGCGACGGTGGCGTCGACGGTGATGGCGACAGCGGCGGCGGCAGTCGACTCGTAGACGGCGCGGATGACGAGGGAGATCCGAGAGATCCTCCTTCACACTCTCCTCGGTGGCGACCGCGTTGCTGGTCGGTTACACACGGTAAACACCGGTCGCCGATTCCGCGCCCACGTATCCGATCGGCGGGAGCGAATTGTAAGACACACCTGTGGGTGCGATCACGACGCCCGTATCACTGCTCGAGCGTACACGCGAGAGATACGTGCCACGTGCGATCTCTCAGATGTAGGGACGTGGGACCAAGAGCGCGCGGAAGGACCGACACGAGGAGAGAAAAGGGATTAACGATTAACATTCTTAACGCGCGTCATCGCGCTTCGTTTCCCGTAGGTAGCCGCGGGGTAGAAGAGAAAGAGAGAGAGAGAGAGAGATAATAAAGAAAAGAACGATAGAATTAACGATTAACGTTCAACGGGTGCGATCGTAAGCGAGGATCCGGGTTTCTCCGTGACATGGATGAGAGACGCGCGAACGAGGGCGCACACGATGAGGGATGTTCATCGCACGGTGAGAGAATTGTCGCCCCGGGCATTATCTCGAGTCGCGCCCGCGCAACGAGCTGCGAAGAGCGAGGGACTGAGTAAATGAATCGCAGCCGAAGACAAAAGAGGCTGGGGGGGGGGGG